ACTGCCAGGCCTAGAGAATCCACCGGAGACGGACTTAGAAGAGCCTCAAGCAAAGCGCGCGGTCAGCGACTGAAAACGACCGCCCGCTGGACCATCGAGCGCGCCCAGCGAGTAAGTACCACCATAGCGATAGATAACCTGACCCATTCGTGATGTCACTTTGACAACCATCTGTCAATGTCAACCGTGACCCGTCAAGTTTGACATTTCAATAAGAACTGTCACTTTTGTATGACGTAAAAAATGATTTTGTATATAGGAAATTCATCAGTTTGTCTTCGTCAAAGATTTGTATGACATTTTTAATCAGCTTTTTCGATTACTTATAAATTATAAAAATTGTATGAAAACAAAAATCAAATGTAAAAAAAATAAACTGTGTATGACAATTGGAAATTGAAATGTCAATTGTTATTGATATACTGTCATATTAATCGTAATATGTATTGTATGAATATTTCTTCGTATTTCGTAATAAATTTTGTTATAGTCGTGTTTGCAAGACAGCGAAAATAGGTTAAGAATTGAGATTTTGAATACTGGATAACTGTCATACAAGCAAAATGTGCATTATATGGTAAATGGAACTATAAGGTCTATTGCTGAACAAATGTATGGAAAAATAACTCCTAAACGTCCCCTTATAATAACTATGTACAAAGAAATAAAAAAAAACTTAAAATCCAAAAAGTTTCAATAACTTATTCTCATGTCACGGTTATCTATCGTCGATGTTGGCACTTTATGTACAACACACACAAATCTCATACAAGATTGTGATCGGACGTTTTAATGTTAATGAATGTGTAAATTAAGCGGTTGCTTCGACGAAACAGCTCTCAAAAATAAGTATATTTATAGAATTTCCAAAATAATCGCCGAATATACATGAGACATTCAATAATAATGGTCTACCATATTTATAATTAACGGTCATTTAAATTAAATATTCTTTGGCGATTAGAATATCAGTTTTCCTATTATTTCTACTATAAAAAAGTTATTTTCACATTGAGAATGCTTTTTGTAATAGTCACGTCGTGTCCGTTGATTTTATTTGTTCCATATGCGTAGATATACGCTTATTTAATTTTGTATTATCAAAATGTTTTCATAATAATTGTCAAGGTATAAAGCTACCATAATGGGGCTGTTTCGTCAGTCAACCACTGATTTAAAGCCAAACAGATAATTATCTTAAAAATAAAATGTTGCCAATACTACTACTAGCATTAATTCTCTAAACTCAAAGGGAAGTTACTAAAATCATAAACTTGTGTTTCTATGGCAACATTTTCTAGAAATTATCTGTGTCTAGGCTCGAATCTAGGACAAAACTCAGTCAAGTATTTATAAGCTTAACCCTATGAAGACTGGCTACTCGTATACACCTTACTAATGAATGATTGAACGAAACCATTCATTCAATGAACGAGTCAATGAAAAATGTAGTTCATTCATCAAAGGTTCGTTACTTGTGTAACTTTGAATTATATTTGTTTTTGACGAGATATAATTTCCTTTATAATTCTGATTATATTACGCTTATTATTATTATTTAATATTTTTTCAATTAATATATTTTTTATTCGCCATAATTTTAGTAATTAGTGTCTTCAATGTCAAGATGTAGCCAATTTTAATACTCAGTGTATTTTGTTCCACCTTTATTATCCATTCATAATCTGGACAGATGACCCAACGAAGGTCGCATGGAGCCACTGGACGCAAGTTGCTTCTAAGAGTACCTTCTAGGAGTGCCTGGGTAGGCCTGAATAAACGCCCAGCAGTAGATAAAAGTGTCATAGCTAATATAATATTTTGTTCCTAACAATTTAAAATATATCTCACGCCAAAATCAATAGCAAAATAAAATCGAAAGTGACTATGGATATTTAAATAAATCGATAATTATTTTTTTAATCATAATAATACAAATTACGGAATACTTTGATTAAATCATTGTGAATTAATTCAGTTCGAGAATCAATAAATTTGTTGTAGCAATGTTTTGCAAACGAACAGACAAATTAGTTTTTTGGTATAAGTTTAGGGAAATCTGTATATTTATTTTTGAATTGTAATCATCGTGAGACGTGACTTACTCACTTGAATAAACTGAGAAAACAAATAAAAACAAAAACGGATTTAAAGAGAAAAAAATAAAAACGGTTTTTTTCTCAATTATTCAAGTGAGTATGTCATGTCGCAAGATATTTACATTTTACTATTATTACAAAAAAAAAATCGTGCAAAATATACCAATATCAAATTATGGCGACCAAAAGGTATTTATGATACCTTTTATTAAATATTATATAGTAAAAAGGAGGTGGTTACCTATGTACCTAAATGTTACACTGCTACATCCTATGCTATGAAAAATCCAGTATAAACAGAACTTTGAATGGGCGGAAAGATCATTACAAAGCGGGATCATAAAACACTGGTTGTGTACAGCTTCATATATAGTCTGTGTCCAATAACTCGGAAATACTATCTGTACAGTACTAGCTGACCCGGCGAAATCCGTACCGCCTCAATTATAAGTATTTATTTTGGCCTTTTAAACCTTCCTTGGACTTCCACGAATAATTCAAGACCAAAATTAGCCAAATCGATAAAGGCATTGTTGAGTTACGTACGTAACGTTACAACGAAAAGTGGCATTGATTTTTATATCGATAAAATACATAATAAAAATAGCTCATATTTTTTTTTCTACGACCTTTGCGTAATAGAACAGGAACGAACAGTTTCGTACCTTATTCTGTATTCAAATCCTTTTATTGATTAGCATTTTAGATTGATGTACGCGTACATTACTTAGGTACATAAGTAATCAAGGCCTCGAAAATTGGCGTTGAATCAAATTGTAACGTACTGCCATCGTACACAGAGTTCAGTTTACACTGCACTTTTGATAAGTGTAAATTCACAAATGAGATTTGAAACAATACTTTTGAGTGTAAACTGACCTTGGGAACTTGCCTTTCAAAATGTACGAGTTACAAAATTATGAATTGTCTTAAATACAACTCCAGGATTGAGTAAACGATCTAAGCATAGAGATAACGAGTCTGTATTATAGAAGTTAATCGATAAGGTTTAATATCTTAATGTTTGTTTTATTCGTTGTTTTTAGTTTTAATTTTCATTTCGGCTGGTCGATGAGCGTCTTCTTTATTTTTTAATTAATATTATTGTATAGTTTGGACCTCCTTGGAGGACATGAATGTTGACTGCGGTACTCTTGTAATGTTGGTTGGACATTTATATTCTGTGGTCATCGTAGCGGTTAATTTTAAGGTTATAATTATGTGTGTTGTCGATTTTGACCCGTTTTCTGAGATACGAATGTAAACACGTTTTATAAACGAGACATATATATATAAATTTATGTAATATTAAGCGGACTAGTATTTTGAAACTTGTTTCTCGTCGATAGGTACAAATTAATCAAATGTTTTGGACATTTTTATGCCTATTTCTAATATTAAACGATCGTGCTACGTATCTCAGTGACCGGCCTCTAAATTTAGGTATTCGTCAACTAAAATAAATAATTTCTCGTGATATTATTCTAAATATCAATGAAGGGGATTTGTCAGGGGACGAGCCCTGTAGTCTGACACGCGCTCCTCGTTTCTAACTCAATATATAGGTCACAGATTATTAAATACAGTATGCAGTATGCTGCACGATCTGACGGTTGATACATTATAAGGTTATATAGTTTATTATTTCTTAGTGACGACATCGCTACCATTTATTTGTTTAGTATACACTATAGGGTTCCCCGCTCCGCTTCGATGCCCATACCACTCGAACAAGACCGGCGTTAAGTTATAACTTTTTTTATTGATAAATTTTTTATTTAAGGTGTACCAAAAAAATGAATATTAGCGACAAAGCGCTCGCTCCACTGTCGCAGTGATTTTCTGTAGTTATGTATCAAAATAAATAATAAACACATTTCTTGGTGGTTTTAAATTTTTAATAATTCCATTCTGTTTACCTTATCACAACCCTAATGCTAAGGTGTTCACATTCACTGATAACAATAAATAGACATAAATTTATTATAACTGTTTTTTATTTTAATATACCCATTTACACGTGTGCGAAGGTTATACTCTCAAGGAAATATTTAATTTATACAATAAATACATTCTAGTGTGTAGTCGTTTATAACAACGAATTTTTATGATGACTTATGATAATAGGAAATATTTTATGAAGAAAAAATAACAAAAGACGTGAGATTTTAATTTCTTTCAAATTTCATTTGAGACAATTTTATTTGTTCTTAGCCTATAATGCTTTATCTAGGATACAATGTGACTTGTAAATAAATATAACAGCTGACAAATAGTAGTCGATTTGAAAACTAGATAGTAGCACTCCATATCACATTTAGATTCCTAAAATACTGACATTACCAACAAAACTAAACAAATTCTATATATTGCTTTATGAAACGCCAACACAATGTGTCCTTATAATATTAAATACTTATGTCTGAAGATGTAAGAAAAAGAAGTAAATCGACAAAGCAATAAAAAAAAAATTTGATAATTTTGTAAAGTCAATTTATTGTTTATCATTACTATTTACAAAATAAGAATACTGACCTGGCCTACGTATAAGAATACTTTCAGATTCTTAACTTCGAAAAGAGATTCAACTAAAGATGACAATAAATAATCTGGGATACGTCCGTCCATTAAAATACTTCATTTCACCAATATTTTGTAACAAATGTAATACATTATATATTTATTCTAATGTACTTCATAACGTATTGAGAGGTACAGTAAGTAGTAAAGTTGTAAAATAAAAAAAAGGAAGGAAGTCATTGACATTATTTGCAATGCGTTTGAGCAGTATGAGTATCTTTTTTGCCTTGTGACTTTATGCTGCATAATACATTTTTTATAAAAAATCTCGAATGTATTTCAAGATTAATTCCAGCCACACATTTTTAATAGATTCATAAGTAAGTCTCACAAGAAACAGGTTGACATATCAACCGAAAAAACAATGCTTACGTATTAGGCATTTCATATTTTTTTCATTATCAAACTTAAGAAGTTTCTTATCATCATCGTCTTCATCGAAGAAGACATGTCACAATAAAACTATAAAAGGGAATGTGTACCTTGAACCAACATCTCTATCTCTTTCTTTCTCTTTCTCTCTCTCCCAAATAAGGCATAGTTCACACAAAAACTGGCTCAGTCTTTCTCCAATATTTTTGTATTTCCTCTAAACTTTTCCCTTTAGTTTCTGGTACCCACAGAATAGTATAAAGTACACCGAACAATGTTACAGCTGCAAATGTATAGAATACAACGTAGGGTCCAAACTGGTTGGCTATAGGCGTGTAGAAGAGAACCGTCATTGAACTGCAAAAGAAGGAAAACGCCATCGATGCTCCCGCCATTCTTGCTCGGACCTGGAACCAGTAACAACAATAATAATTAATAATAAGAATATCGGCTGATCTAGCACTTGATTTTGAGATCAAACATATTCAAGTACTTACACCCGGTTTCTGAAAGGCTTGTCAACGCTAAAATTAACTAATCTCCTGTTAAATCTCTTGTCAAGTCATCTGATTGGTTGTTGATAATTCAGTCAACCAATCAGATGACTTGACAAGAGATTAAATTCCGGACAAACAAGACCGGTCGACAATGAATTCTAAGTTATAGAAGTTACTTCTACAAAAGTATTTACTGACCTGGAAAGGGAAAACTTCAGCCATGATAACCATGGGTACCGGAGCCAGGCCGGCTCCGTAAGCCAGGATACAGAGACATACGGCCACCACGGGCAACCAGCTCACTACGCCCGTGCCAAGTAAGAAACAGGTTGCCAACGTCGTCATACATATTGATACGACTAGAGAACTGCATGCTAGGGGTATCTGGAAAGATATAACATGATATAAAAAAAACACAATTAAGTGTGGGAGAGCCAAGCTTCGGCACGAATGGGTCGGCTCGACCGGAGTGATACCACAGCGTCACAGAAAACCGACGTGAAACAACCACAGCGTTGTGTTTAGCCGTGTGAGTGAGGTTACCGAAGGCCTAATCCTACCCTCTCTCCATTCCTTCCCAATCCTTAAATACTCATCTGAAACCCTTATCCTTAAAAGGCCGACAACGCTCTCGTAACTCATTTGGTGTTGCGGGTGTCCATGGGCGGCGCTGATTGCTTATCATCAGGTAATCGGTCTGCTCGTTTGCCGATCTATTGCGTAAAACAATAAGTACCTAATACAACTTATACCTTAGACTAGTTTAGAGTACCTACCGAAGTATTTATGAAGAATTTCCCAAATTCTGTTCTAAATGCGCCTTTATGCTTCTAAATGCTGTGTGGCCCATTGGATTGAACGAGCGGGACAGGGCAGTGTTTTTAAACACGAAGTAATAGATATAACTTTAGTTATGACGCGGCGGCTGGCCAACTGCCTGCCGTGCACTGTCTCGCAAGTTGGATTCCCGCACGGAACAACACAAATTGTTGTTCCGGGTGTGATACTGTACGCATGACTCGACTATAGTAAAGAAAATATTTTCATCGGTTTTTAAATCCTTACGTAATCTGTAGCTACTATGTTCAGTGCATAACCAATTTAATAATGCTCGAAATGCTCCATATTTACTGCTATAACTAATTTCATACATTATTATTATTATACTAATAATTTTCCGGTTCACTAAATGCAAAATTACTTTAATGAAATGATAATTATTAATGCCACACGTCTATATGCCGTGAGATTTTTTTTATTAAACTAGTCTTGTTTCATCTATAGGCATGGACAGGTCTATCCAAACGAATGTGAAATATTCAAAAACGTGATATTTATTCAATATCTAAACACGAAATTTGCAACAGTGATAAAACGGGCATAAACCATAAAATAATGACGAACCTATTAGCTTCTGTATTTATATTGACCGTGTTGTTTTGTAATGTGTTGGACGCGAAGAAATTGAAACTAAAACAGGTTTTGATATTTAGTAGACACAATGTGCGGTATCCAGTTGCGGAACATCTGGATCGATATACACAGAAGCCATGGCCTGAATTGCCTGGGGAAAAAGGAGCGCTGACGCCTAAGGGAGCACGTTTAGAAGGATACATGGGCGAATATTTCTCAGAGTGGTTCAACAAAAACGAGTTTTTAAATGTAGGATGCCCTAGTGATGACGAAGTTTATGTGTTTACGAATAGTGTAAGTAGGACTAAGGCAACAGCGCGAGCCTTCCTCGACTCTGCGTTTAAAGATTGCTCCGTGCCTGTGCATCATAAAGACATCGAAGGACCAGATCCTCTATTTGCGCCAGCAATACGCAACACGACGCAAGCTTACAAAGACATGGTCATAGAAGAAATCAATAGGAAAATGTCAAATAATCAGAAACTCAAGGAAATGTATTTGGAATTGAACAAAATATTGGATGTGAAAGAGTCAGCCGTTTGCAAAGAGGACGATATTTGTGATTTGACGGAATCAAAGCACACGATTTTGTACGATGTTGGTAAAGAAATGTGGGTTCAAGGGCCACTTATGATAGCCAATTCAGTTATGGATTTCTTTGTTATGACTTACTACGATGGTTTTCCCATTAAAGACATTGCATGGGGATATATAAGAAGTAAAGAAAAATGGAGAATTCTGACGGAGATAGGACGACAGGACCATAATATAAGGTACACAACAGTAGCTGAAGATATCGGAGAACAACTAATGAATTACTTAAGGGAAACATTTCAGAATTATGACAATATGCCGAAGTTAATTTTGTTAGTCGGTCACGATTATAATTTGAACGCTATAACAACAAATATGGGATTTGAACCGACGGATTTGCCAAAGCAGTTTGAGAAGTATCCAATAGGTGGGAAGCTAGTGTTTCAGAGATGGACAGATGGTGAAAATGACTTTTTAAAGGTGGAATATGTGTATCCGAGTTGGTCTCAGTTGCGTCATGGAAAAAAGTATTCATCAAATAATCGTCCGCAGAGTGTCGTCATGAAGTTGAGCTGGTGTTCAGACAAATGCGGGTTTTGTCCGTGGACTGAGTTTGTTAGCAAAGTGTAGACCGTATGTATTTATAAATAAATAAAATATTGTCAAGGTTTTTAAACGAGTGTTTGTTTTAGTGACCTTCAGTGAATCAAACAGGTATGTATAACAACATATTATCACGTCTTTCAATCTTCGGGCAGACAGAGTTAGGTATATTATAATAGGGAGATATTTTGTTATATTTGCAATAAATTTGTTATGTTGGGTATGTTGAGCTATTTTTCTAAGTTCCTAAAATATTTTTTTTAAACATTGCCCTAAATTTGTGTTTGCTCCTGTATCGTGAATGCGTTTATAAACATAAAAATTCACACACACGAACCACCCACATCCAAAACATACACAAAGTGTTGTTCCGTACGGGATCCGCGACACGTTTGTGCAGCAGCCAGTTGTCCAGACACTACGACAACCGTGCAGTCAAATTAAGTATAGCAAGTTTGTTTTTATGCGATAGGACGGTAAATGTCCTAATGTAAGCAATCAGCGCCGCCCATGGACACCCCGCAACAACGGAGGAGTTACCAGTGCATTGTCAACCTTTTGGGAATTAGGGTTTTGGGGATATAGGGATTGGACCTCCGGTAACATCACTCACATGGCGAAGCACAACGCTGTGATTGTTTAGTCTTAGTTGTGTATTTTCTTTTCAATATTCATTAATTACCTAATGCGATAGTTTTAGCGTCGTTTATAAACACAACTCACCTTTTGACGCTTAATCCACGCGCTTTATCTACACAACCAACTCAGAATTACATAAGAAATTCAGTTATATCTTTTTATGGCAAACGATCTGATCTAATGCTTAGCAATCGGTGACGCACACCCGTAGCAAGCGCGTAGGAAAATAACATTTACCTTTCGTCCAAATTTTTCAATGGAAATAGTAGTGAAGAATGACCCAGCCAGCTGCAGGGAGCCGACAGCGAGGGCCAGCGTGTTAGGGCTCCACTGAGTGCCAGCTCTGTGGAAAACGTCGGCCGCGTAGTTCATTAGGGCGAAGCACCCTGAGAGTGTCTGCATCGCCATGAGCATCAGGGTCATCCGAAGCGCCGAGAATGTCGTTCGATCGCGTACTGTGGAAAATAGTGATTAGTACTAATTAAGTACCAATGTACATAATTACCGTCTTTTGACCCATACTTATAAAGGGTTCAAGATTCATAGGAAAGAGTTTTCAACGCAGCATATACTCCTTTCAATAGTTATGCTGTGTGTTTCTCTTATGTACTAGACCGTGATTCTATAACAAGACCCCAGACGATTAGTAAATGACGATTTCGCTAAAAACTGGCATTTGCTTTTTGCCAATCGACAACTCGGACACTACTCCAGCCTTATTTAGGTACTTTGTTACAAAATTGAAAATCAATTGCAAAAAAATAAAAAATTGTTTGTGCAATTGTACTTTCAGATAAAATTGTACCGTCAGAGGTGATTCGACAGAGAACTACATTATAGTCGACATAGTTCAAAGAATTAACAGACTTACTTCAGTTTGTCAAATGACAAATGTAGCCTGCCAGAAGAACTAATGACTGTTGATCGCTCGGATCGGGCAAAGTTCTCGTCTTTGTAATTAAGCTTAGAATCTGCCCTATTTACTTTTTGATAGAATTATTCAATAACTTCGCCCTACGATAGGAAGTGTTAGACTCTTCTATTATATAAAAATGACTCGCAAAGTGTTGGTAAGTCCATAATTCAATAACGTCTTTACCAATTTTGTCAATTCTTTAGAATCTTTAGAATTCTTAAGAATTGCCAGGAGAAGGTATTTCAACTTCTTGGAAATTTGGGACGAAAGAGTCCATATTTCCTATACGACCTACTCTTTCGTCGTTAGACCCGTGCGAAGCAGGGGCGAGCCGCTAGTACTAAATAAAAACCACTCCGTCCCTTCTCCTGCATCGAGTTACGGCCGCGTTACATTATTGTGCTTACACCAGCAACCGTTACTCCGGCTGGTCATCGGCTCTGGTGGAAGCTAAGGATCTGCCTGCATTACGTAAGTATATGCTACTACTAGCTTTTGCCCGCGACTTTATTCGCGTGGAATAGTAACTTCCTGCAGATTTTTGGTTTAAAAGCTATCCTATGTCCTTTCTCGACTTGCAAACTATGTCTGTTATGTACCAAATTTCACACAAATAGGTTCAATAGTTTACACGTGAAGAAAAGACCGACAGACAGTCAGAGTTACTTTCGCATTTAGAAAATTAGTTTGGATGTAAATATTACAATTAATAATATTATTACTGTCATGGTGGAGTATATGACTGTATGACTCATCACTGAACTTAACTTACTGAGCTTACTTAATATGTATATGAAAATCTCTCTCTACATCACTACATAGTATAAAACAAAGTTCATGTCTCTGTCTCTATATACCTATGTCATCATATCATCATATCAGCCACAGGACGTCCACTGCTGAACATACGCGAGCGACCTGCATCCAGCGGCTTCCTGCGACCTTAATCAGGTCGTCTGTCCACCTTGCGGGTGGACGTCCTACGCTGCGCTTGCCGGTACGTGGCCTCCACTCGAGAACCTTTCTGCCCCAGCGGCCGTCGGTTCTACGCGCTATGTGCCCTATAATACCTATGTAGGTATGCTTATATCTTCAAAACTACGCGACGGATTTTGGTGCGGTTTTTTTAGTAGATAGAGTAATTACATGTATTGACTAGTGGAGAAATTGAGTTAAAGCATTGCGCCCGTGCGAAGCCGGGGCGGGTACTTTATACTGGCGCTAGATATACCTAGATAGTATAATCTTATATTTATACTCTTTAATAAGCCTTACAAAGTAAGCACACAAGCACTAGATAAAGGTAGGTCCTGGCTTAGGTTTTATAGCTCAAATACTAGTATCGCAATGTAAACACTGAATTATTATCAGTGTAAGAAAAGGCGTAGCATATAAAGCTATCCTTTTTTAAAATCTTCTTTATTCGATTTTCAACATTGTTGCAAAATGTTAGTGTTGAAAGTCGTTTGGGTAGATTTAGTGTACTTTGATGAGTGTTTGTAATTACAATGTGATTAGTCTTAATTTGAAACGTGGTAATTGTTGTTATCTTAACGTTTTTTATTTGCAGTTTCAATGCCCCACTATTAATTTTATTATGGCAACTTTGTGAATGTTGCCAGTTTGATAATACCTACCTAAGTGTTATTTTATTACGGAAGATACACGCAATGGTTTTATTATAAGACAAATGGCAAACAGTAGGCGAAACGAATATAATATAGATTTGGGATTTAAATGGCGTCTGAATCGTGGCAATTCGAGGCACAATAGGTGCGCGAACGCCGGCGTTCGTTTGGGGTTGATAAATTAAAATGACATATGTGAAATATGACAGACGTCAATGTCGATTCGATGCACTGGCGTACGTAATACGTATTTTTCTTTAACGAAATAATCTTTACCCTTATAGCGGGTGCGGGTGCAAGCTCATAATAAACCTGGCCTCGGCCTGAAGCAGAATTTTTTTGTGTCATGCCGTTGCATGTAGGTGATGTTTCATGCACGTGAGATCCATAACCGAAACACCTAACATTCAAATGGGTCAAAGAATCAGGGACAAGTCACAATCTACACTAACCGTCCAATCATATTCAAATTATTTGGATTAAGAGTGTCTTCCATTCAACTGACAGTGCGATTAATGCTGAAAATTTATATTCAGCACAAGTTGGATGGAGTTTCTGTCAAAAAAGAGATCAATCCAGATATTTTCGTTTAAGACGTAAAGTTTTTACATTCGTACTTTACCCACACTGAGCAGTGAAACCCGGGTGGTCTCCTCGAACTGCCGCTGCTCATCCTTCAGCTTTAGCAGTTCCTCTACAACCTGGTTGTGGTCCCTGTTCAGACTCCTCAACCAGGATATCGTTTTGGCTGCTTTCTGGAACACATACACAGTTTTTTGAGTTAAGATTATCACTCTTATCAGAACCAGCCTATATCTCTCTACTGGGTAAAAACCTCTTCTCACAAGAAGAAATTTCTTGTGGTTTTTTTGTAAACAGAAGTTATATTATTTGGTGGAATATTCTTGGCACTCTTATGTTTGGGAGAGCCAAGCTTGTAAGCCAGACTAGCCAATTTAGAAGTACTTATTATGTAAAGGTTTTTAGTCAAAGTCTGACACTCCCTCTCGCCCCACGACCAAAGACGTATGCCATCTTCCCTCAACGCTCAGAACGCAGCTAAATTTTTTTTTTTAAAAAACGTTGCCCCACATTAGGATTTTCTCCTGTGTCGTGGGTGCGTTTACAAACATACAATATCACATACACATCATACCCAGACCCGGAACAACAATCTGTGGATCACACAAAGAGTTGTTCCGTGCGGGAATCGAACCCGCGACACGTTGCGCGGCAGCCAGTTGCCCAGCCAACGCGCCAACCGTGCAGTCAAATCAAATATTAAGATTGCAACATGTTCATCTTTTGAAGATTTTTTTATGGAATACGAGCGACGGATCAATCAATAGCGCCCACTGGCTCCATGCTAGGAGTAACAAGTGCATTACAGGTTTTAAAAAAAGATTTAGTACCCTTTTTATTTTGAGGCGCTTACATCATAAAATGGCTTCTCTTGCCCTGTCTCTTTTTTGAAGGCTTACAATTTTATCCAAGTCCTAGACAGTTATTCTAAATTTAAAATCCACGACCTATGCCCGGTTTCTGAGGTACAGTTAACGGCAGTTTATGGATTCGATAGCGCTATTGGTTCGATAACTCTTACAAGTACGTTTCTGAGCATTGCATTGTTAGTTAAACTCAGTTTAAACTAAAGCTATCTTAACTCGCCATTTGGTGCCGTTTATCAGTTTCATAACTTTATTTGACGTTTCGAATGTCAAACTATACAATTTTTGTGGTAAATTTCAAAATGATTTCAATAAGTAAAAGTTGCTTTAGCTGCTAATTATGGAAGAGCAATGAATAGGAGCATATTTAATACAAGCAGTTCATCTGAGTCCGATATGGAAGTGCTAGAGTTTATTTCTTGTATTTCTGTACTCAGAAACTTAAGACAAAGGAGAAATCCTTTAGAAATGTTTACTGATGAAGAGTCTACTTAAAGATCTTAAGATATCGTTTTCGTTTTCCCAAGCAACCGACAACAATGTCTGTTTGACGTTTCTTTTTTTTCTAATTGACACTGAGACGGTGTTCAATACAGCCAATGCTAAATAACAAATTATCATTATATTTTAAATGAAACAGTTTTTGATAACTTAAAACTTTGAAAAGAAATTATTTAGGTACCTAATAAACACGTAATAAAGCTGAAATAGAATAAATATAATCAAAATTTAGTTGTTATCCTCAAAAGACCCATCTATTGGCAAATTAAGGAACTTACTATCCTTTACATAGTTATTGAAGGGCTCGTTGCGTATTCAGAAACGCAGTGACAGTTAACCGACGTTTATCTTATTGATAACTTTATTGAACCAACAACTATTTTAAACCTAACCGACGCCTTCAGAAACCGGGCACTAGTATTGTATTTTTCTAAATGGTGTCTAAATGTACCAGTTATGTTAATTTCTGGCACCACGAGACATTGTGATAAGGAAATTTTGCTTAAAGAAATAGAATTTTATCATTTTAAAACTAAGTTGGAAATAATTGCAGAAATGAATATAGGTATTTAACTAATATGAACTTGTCTGTTTGGTATATACATATTTATTGGTGCATAAAATATGGAACACTTTAATTTTTTACTATAAAATTTAATTTATTTATTGTGGTTAGTATCTAAGGTAGTTTTATTTAACCCACGTTAAAAAGTGCTATCCTGGACTATCATCTTTATCTTTGCCAAATTTCACTCAGATTTGTCCAGAAGCTTTTACGTGAAAGAGGTACAAATAAACATCCATTCTTTCATCCGTAAACACCCTTACAATGTTTAACGTTCATAATATCATTAGGTTTTTTTTACATGAACTTTATCCCTCAAACACACACACAGATTTAAGCTTAACAAACGCAAAAAACTCCAACGAACCTTTTCCTCGCCGATCTTCAGCAAATAATTGGGAGATTCTGGCATAAAACAGAAGACGATCACGTGGACGGCCGCCACGGCCAGGTAAACTGCTTGATTCACTTGGTACGAGGTCGCCATGCCCACAGCGTACACGAATATGACCCCTAGTTTGCACATGGTCATATTAAGTGACCCCAAGGCACCTCGAAGCGTGTCTTCGGATATTTCTTTAAGGTAAACTGGTACCACTACGAAACAGCCACCGGCTGCCAGCCCAGCTATCACCCTTGCTGATATAAGGGCTGGTGACAGAACCGCTGTCAGTTTTATCGTCCATGATATCTGAAATTGGGAAATAATAAACAATAAGATTTCATTCATTTAGTACATTTCAGATTTCATCAAGCTCCAAGCGAACCCCGGCGTTACTATTGTTCTTCTATTGTTTCGAATTACCACGGTTGAAGGAGGTTTAGTAGCAAACTCCCAAAAAATTGACAAAAGGTCTAACCAACAGGGTAAAACGCTATGATGTATCGGAGCAGGAGTTGGAACGGGGTGTTTTAGGTCAGCAAGGACCTGACACTTTTTCCATCTTTTAAGAAGGCACAGGACGATTTAACCACACAACAAAAAAATATTATAAAAGGTTTTGGAGGGCAAATAGCCACTCCACGTAAAGCACAAGTAAAAAATGAAAATAATGAAGTCGTATTTCAATCCTTTTTGAATTTGGAATCCAGTCCGATTCCTAAAGGAGGATGATGGCCATTGTAGGCGAGGCAGTTTTTCCTATAGGTACTTTTCAACCATCCAGTGATTCTTCAGTGTTGATAATCATTACGATTCTTCAGTGTTCATACAGAATCTTATGTTCAAAGTTAATGTGTAAAGATGTACATATGTATCTTTACAAACATATTGTGTTCTTAGAGGCCTTTTATAACTTTATAACACCATCCTAAGTGTGGTATGTGTATTTTTCGATAAAGCATTTTATTGTCCCGTGATTAGGTATATTATCACGAGTCAACGTATCTCAAATTAAGGAAGTAATTAATTATTTATTTAAGATTCACTCCGGTTTAAGTGTAAGAATCTACGGAGATGGTGCGCCTGTTAGATACCTATTTTTTTTTTGCTCCAGCTGTTTTCCGGGCGTCACAGTAGAGTTAGGTTTATCCGCGAGAGGGCAGTGTTTTATTTTTTTATTAGATTTAAAGATAGATTGCACAAAAAATAATACTTATTATCATGTGTGTTCACTGATTGATCTGACCTTGTATTAAAACAGGCCTGCAAAACTTTACTTTTTAAAAGGTACAGCTAAAATGGTATATTTTTTCATAGAACTAGATATGCTAAAGAGTCGTCTTCTACGAATGTTATACGCGAAATATTAACTGTCTCATTCACATCAAAAAATCATTACAACAAATTGTGCTAACATCGAAATGCCGAAGCAAGGATAAAGATGGAATGGAAAGATGATTTTGTGAAAAGAAGGTAGGTATCCCCAATACCGTGTAACAAGTGATGACGCCATTCATAATAAAACTGATAAAACAGAATGTTGGTACTGTTCTTCAGGATCTGGTTACATGGTCATAATTTATTTCTTTTGTTAAAAAAAAACGTTGCTCCACCCCAGGTATTTCTCCTGTATCGTGGGTGCATTTACAAACATACAATTTCACACACACATGACACCCAGACCTGGAACAACAATTTGTGGATAGATACACAAAGAGTTGTTCCGTGCGGGAATCGAACCCGCGACATGTTGCGAGGCAGCAGTTGTCCAGGCGCCACGCCAACCGTGCATGTAGTCAACTTATAAAACAACATGGTGTCATCATGAAACAAAAAAGGACGAAAAACAAAGCTTATGTGGATTTTGCTGTTAAATTGAGACTCTCCTAACTTCGAAACCTCCCAATTTACAATCCCTAACCTCCAAAAGGCTTGTAACGCATTCCGATTCCTCTAGCGTTATGGTTTTCCATGGCCAGCGCCGAGCACTAAGTATCATGTGTTACGATAGCTTGTTTACCATCTTGTCCCTAATAAGCAGATCTTAATCAAACCTCCATTTACCCAATTATTTTTGAAACAGGTTTGAAGACAAAACCAACTGATTATGTTAGAGTAAATATTGTTCTTCCACTGTTTAGGTAGCTTCTAAGTGAGAATTTATAGGTATATTTGCCTTACATCATTAATATGTAGCTGCATAATTTGTACAACGACATCATAATACAGTTTGCGTCAACAATTATTTGAACAGTAAAATCAAGTTTGGAAAAGTTAAAGTTAAGATGTTATTGGAAATACCGTGACGTTATGGTTAAAACCTTTTTTTATGGAGAAGGAGGCCAACGGGTCGATGTATAAATAAATAAAATAAAATAAGACTTTATTTCTGAGTACCAATTAATTCTTAAATATCATATTTTTTATCTGTATGTTTATTCTCAGTTTGTCTTTCGACATAGGCCTCCTCTAATAGTTTCCACGTATCCCTATCCCTCGCAACTCTCATCCACAGTGGTCCCACAGTTCCTTTTAAGTCGTCTTCCCATCGTCTTGATTGTTGACCTTTGCTCCTTTTCCCATCCCTCGGGTACCATTCACTTATTGTTTTTGTCCATTTCCCATTTCTATCTCTTTATATATGACCTGCCCATTTCCATTTCAATTTCATTTCATAATGATGTATACCATCGTCCTAATCGAATAGCATCGCCCATAGACACCCGCAACACTAAAGTAATTATGAGTGCTTTGCCGATCTTTTGGGCATTCTAGTTTCAGATATTTAAGGATTGTGTAAGGATAGGGGGAGGGTAAGGATCGGGACACCGGTAACTTCACTCATACGGCGAACGCTGTGCTTTATTCACGCCGGTTCTGTGAGGCTGTGGTATAACATCGGTCGAGCATTGAAAGTCTTGTAGGAAGGAATATGCCTGTTTCTTAAATCTTTGAAGGTCATATGAGTTAATTCCATAGTAATGTAGTGCAATACGCAAAAGTTTCGCGAAAAACATGTAGTTTTTCATTCGTGCTGGCACCTAATGTCTTTATTTAGACCTCGATCGATATGAGATACTTGTATTAAAACTACAAAGGTTTATGTACCTACTTCTGTCCTGATGCTGTCACTCAGAACCGTTATTTAATAATGGTGTTATGGAGGGCGTTTTATTATAAGATGCGTACAACCTTTTCACACTGATCTTAGCTTGAAGCAATAAATCTACGATTTTCTTTAAAACCGAACTTTTTCTTTGGTCGAGCCATCAAAATTGCTTGTTGGACTACTCCGATATAACCGTTAAATGTTATAATTTAAAAAGAATGTAGCTGTTATAGCTTAAAAGGTTAGAAGCATATAAAAAAATAGAACAACCATAAAAAAAAGGCATACTTACACAGGACAGTAAAGACACAAGTATCACGCAGATTTTTCTTCCATATCGATCTGAAGCGTAACTGAAGAATGGTATCCCACAAATGGCGGCTAGTGGTAGTGCGGCCGCCATCCAAGAGATGTCACTGTCTGACAAAGGTTCCTGCGCGGGTGTTAATTCAGACTTGAGAAGAGGTCCCATTGGAGACAGCCAGCCGATCTGGATGCCATATGTGAAGGTTGGTATTGTTGCTGGAAAAAGTGGGAAGATCAATATTATTGACTGGTTAGGTAGCTCATCATCATCATCATCATCATCATCATCATCATCATCATCATCATCATCAGCCTATAAGTGCCCACTGCTGACTGTTGAGCAAACGCCTCTTCACAAAAGACGAAGGTTTGAGCATTAATTACCACGCTTGCCCAAGGTGGATTGGTGATTTCAAACTTATAATTAGAAATTATAAATCTAGGATTCACGATGTTTTCCTTCACCGTATGTCAGAGGTGTCTAATTAATAATCATAGAAAGTACATATAACTCGAAAAAGGCATATTGGTACTTGCCAGGTTTCGAACCTGCACCCTCAAGCATGAGAAGCGGGCATCTTAACCTCCGGGCCACCATGATGTTAGGTATCTACTGTGTCATAATCATCATCAAGATCATCGAATAGTTGGTTAAGGGATTCCTCTAGGCTAATTAAGCTTGGAAGATTGACCAGTGTATCGTGTATGACTAAATTGTCTTTGCGACCAGAAAATGTGTTCTGACATGTTATTATGGAAAATACAGACCTAAGAAAAAAGAGACGGGATGTTGTATGTTAGAAAAAGGAACATCATTTATATTTTGGTTATTGTCGATGGGAAGGGGCTATGGTCTTCTTTTAGTTTCTGGAACTTATTATGAGTAAGCCTTTTTTTGTGAGGGGAAAATCATAGAATTACTTCTCCTGCTCTGGGCCGAGGTCGCGGTGCCTCATTGCGCCTACCCCGCAACCCCAGCTGAACATCAGCCCTATAGGGCCCCGTCTGTGTTGGTCTATTGGCTCTTTAAGGCGCGCGCGGAACTATACGCGCCGTACGCTCGGGCCTGGTTCTGGTCGGGCGGCGAGCTGCCCTTACTCGCCGACCGCAGGCCCGTACTTACGGTGGCCGGAGATCGTCCCTTGATCCCCGACGCCCGTAGTGTCGCCTGTTGCGGCGGCTGGGGCGTGAGGAGGAGGATTGCTCCCTCACGCGGGCCGCCTCCCTCTTTGCGAGCATAACTGCTTCACAGAAGTAGGAGACGGCGTCCCAGTTCCTCTCGCTTCCCCCCATGGCCTCGACTAAGGCTGGGCGCGAGACGACAACACCCGGGCGTTTCCTCCCGCTGGATCCGAAACAGGAACCTACCGAAGCTGCCGTGCCCGGAAAGCACTTGCGTCAGGCGGAAGGTGAGGACGCCGTGGCGTCTCTCAAGCCACTCCTCAAAATTATGAGTAAGCTTGGTGTGGGCCAGATGCACCATAGGTAACTTCTGATGGGTTATAAGAAGCTGATGATGGAGAAAGAATTTATGAAACAAATTAGCAAAACCTCATTTTGAATGTAACTGGTGAGTTGGTGTTTACTTTTATTTTTATCAAAATGATGACTTGCAGTTTTATTACTTACACTGCTACTTCTTAATGCTAACAAAATAAACCGTTTGCTATTTTTATCTCACCGTTTTCTTTTAGAAGGTATTAATATTGCAAATTCTTCGTGATTTTGCAAAGCATATTTTTTATGGAATTATTATGTCGGCAAACGAGCAGTAGCTGGCAGTTGGATGAGAAGAGCTGAACATCGAGCTCAGTGGCCTAATTCTGCTCATGAATACGAGCCCCGGGCGTGGCTCGAAACTAGTTGAGTTATTTCGTAAAGCAATTACGTGAGTAAGCCGTTTAGCGTAATTAGCAGCTGAGTTACTTCAAATTACATTATATTATACTAGCTGCTCGCCCCTGCTTCGCACGGGTATCCATACAGTTGCAATTTCCCAAATTCATCCTCTACTTTTCTAAAATTACCTTTCATAAGAATTTTCTCCTTACAATAACAAAGTCAACAAAAAAGGAATTGGCAAAATTGGTCCAGGCGTTTTTGAGTTATGCGCTTACCAACATATTTTGCGATTTATTTTTAAATTATAGATTAGGCTAATAATGTTTGCTAGGCTAAACATATTTAATGCTATTTGACGAGTTTTTACGTAACATAGAGAATCCTAGAACTACGTAAGTTACATAGAAATATTAATGATACTGAACAAAGATAGTTGATATATTTTATCTTTTCTGAGATAAATGACGAGTCATAGCATTAATATAGTCGGTGTATGAGTATGTCAGATATTTTTATTGCGTTGCCTCACTATTGCAACGAACATAAGAATTATTAAAAGGTCGGACCTTGTGAAATATCGTAGGTAAAAGAAAATTGCAGTGCAAGGTTGACGCCGTGACTGGGAAATCGGCATTTGCGCAACGTGGCTTCGGATCCAGTAAGAAACAATACTTTATACCAGTGGTTTTCAAACTGTTTTAGAGGAAAAACATTCATTAATAATAATAGGGAATCATTTTAAAACGAATTGTGGCCCTACAAATATTATCAATGTAAAAGTTTGTGAGAAAGTTTATGGATGTATAATTGTTATTCTTTCACGCATCATAGGTACCTACATAATTAACACATAGGCTACTTTTTATAAACATACCATGCGGGCGAAGCCGCGGGCGAAAGCTAGTTTATAATATTATTTATAAAATATCATATATTTTAGAAAACAGAGAATATTCTCCCGGAGGCCTGCAAAGGCAGAACTTTGAGAGCGGCTGCTCTAGTGGACCCACAAATTTTTGTTTCTAGTCTGGGTGCGATGTGTATGTGAATTTGATTTTTTCAACTTTTTAACTCTACACCGCATTATACAATGTTGTATCTATAATTACATACAACACAGATGTTTTACGGCTTGTTAAAATGTAATGGTTTACTAGTAGACTGCTCCTGTTCCCACGACTCTCCAACTATGTGTCAGTTATTTGTTGTTGTTTTGTTAGCGATCCGTCGCGACATTAAAAGGGTTGCTATTATCAAATTGTTCTCTCTATTTTCCTTTTTTATTTATTAAAGTTTACTAAGATATTCTTTTTTTTATTTTTTTTTATATAAAAACGTTGCCCCTCAGGATTTTCTCCTGTGTCTTTCTTCTGTGTACTAGCTTACCTATAATTACCTACACAGTTGGCAATTACTGACTACCAGTATTCACAAAATAAGTACCAAATAGTATAAGTGCTTGAAAGAATATACAACTAAAATGAATAGTAAATATTGATTGATAATAAGCATAAAGAAATAAGATTAATCTGAATCGGCTTAGCCGTTTACACGTAATGCCATAACCAAGAGAACATGGAATTTGTTTTTATATCTGTTTTTATAGATAACGCATTAATCATTTGAAATTGAAACTGTTGAGATGTTTTATCTTTATTCAGAGTTATGGACAATCATTCATTGACAAATCATACTCATTTTACTAACGTAACTGTCAAATATATTTTTTATCTAAAAAAATCTGACACTCTCTGAACTTTGCACCCCTGAATCGACAGCTGAGTGATTACTTTCAGTTTTATAAAATAAAAAATACCTATTTGCTGTATAAACATTATGTAAAAAATATACAGAGGTACCTACTTATTTTTAAATTGTTGACATTGTCTTAAACGACATTGATTAATTAGTTATTTTTAAGAATATATACAATAATACATTAGCTCGGTACATATTTATGAGAATATTTTTCTACTAAGAACTTGGAAATAAAATATATATGTGCTTGGCATAATAGGGTAGGTATTTTTATTTACATAAAGTAATCATAGTAGCCCCACAAGGCCGTGCCGCCGTAGGGATTAACGAAAAAAAAAATTACCAAAATGGTTTTTTTTTGTTTTGAGAAGGGAAAATCATTGTAGCATTTTTTCGCCCAGGGTACCTATGGCAAGACTTATTTGATACCTAATAATATTCATATATGTATATTCTTAGAATATCCCTTTTAACGAGCGAATGAAAATATGATAAGCTTATTGGTATATGGATAAGAGTTTCGGTTGTTTATTTTTTTCTTCTACAACTACTTTTTTTTAGGAAAAATGCATCAAATGTCTTTTCCCGCCCAAAGTGGGAGTATCGAACTCTTACTGGCTTAAAACCGCCCCGTTCCTTCTCCTGCTCTAGTCCGAGGCCACAGTACCTACTTTACTTGCTTGACCCGCAACCCTGGCTAAACCTAGAGGGAGTCTGGATTCGGCTTGGTGTATAGCAGATGGCAATAGGCTCAACTCGTGTAACTTATGACTTAATAGGGACATGACAATATGACTTAGATTTCCGGCTGTAGTGTCGACTGTCGACTATGGTCGGGAGCGAGTCAGGGTGGAGTGCCGTCGCTACCTTCTGTGAGGAGGAGCTGTGCTTCCAAAGGAGGCGGCGGAAAGGGAAAGAGAGACTGCCTCCTCTCTCCCCTCCCGCAGCAGACGCACTAGACGTCTTAGGGTGGCCAACCTGCGGCCACCCTAGGGCGCGGCCTGCGGACGACAGACTCGGGGCGTCTAGTCGTCCGACCAGCAGTAGGCCTCGAGGCGGCTGCGCCGTGTTCCGCGCGCGCCTCATAGTTGAGTCCTGCGGTCGGGGTGACGGCCGCAGTGGGTGACGGGGCCCGCCTAACGAATGCTTAGGCGATACCAGCCCCTCCGACACATGGGTAATTGGAGGAACACCGGGTTGGTTTTTAGTCAGTATGAGTCTGACAGTACCCTTCGCCCTTTCCCCTGGGCGGTGGGTCTCCATGAGGATTTTCCAACCAACCAACGAGCAGACGGGTCACTTGATGCTAAGCAATCGCCCCACCCATGATACTTGTAACACTAAACTTAGAAGTGGGGTACCGGCCTTTCGTGGAATATTAGAAATTTGAGATTTGAGGACAGGGGATTTATAAGATTAACAATAATCAAATTATTGTTCTTGCTCTGAGGCAGAGGGAGGGTCTGGGTTCTTGTTGACTGAAGCCTAAGGACAGGGAAATTTCGAAGTCGTAGAGTTAAATCATCAAATAATTTCAAAATCTCTGAAAGAGAGGGAGAGTCTGGGCTCTTATTAACTAAAAACCACCCCATTACTTCTCCCGCTCCAAGCCAGCCTGCAAGGCTGAACATCAGTCTTGTTGGGCCCCGTCTGTGGAGGTCTAAACGCCGTATGGTTTTGGTTGCGCATACGGCGTTACGCGGACTGGTTTTGTCGCAGTGAAGGTTGCATAGAATATATGCCATTTCTGTCTTTGGCTTCATGGAACAATGAATGTTAATGTTGTTTTGTATGTGTAAATATGTGCATAGGTATCTTCCTCATAACGTTTAGTTCGTGGTACCAATCGACGTTTTATAACTGCTTGTTATCAAGTCTACGTAAACAGTGAGGTGGCGCCATTGCGCTGTTAGCAACGGTATCTAATATCACGCTATTTTATCTATGAGGGGATACGCAGAAGTATATCGGAGGTGCATTCATCTTTTTTTAAATATAAATTCCATAGCACCATACTAGGATTTTCTCCTGTGTCTTGATAGAGTTACCCGGAATATAATAATTATATTTAAACAATCACCATAGTAAATCAATGTATAATGAATAACAATTCAATTCAAGCTGCTATATTCATAGTGTGCTCCATAGGACTTCTGGAGGCCCTACGCCACCAGGGTCGCAGGTACAAACACAATTATGTAAAGTGGGCAGGGCTAGGGCAGAAATCATTGGATGATCCCACCTTTCCTAAAAATGGGGCTTCATGAGGCTAGTCTGATCCCACTGAGGTTTGATTTACTTGTACTGGGAATCAGCGGCATATTTCATGGGCAGGCCACTTCGCTCAAAGTAATGACGGCCAAGTGGCTGGAAAGTCCACATGTGGTGACCTAGAGCCCAGAAAACGTACTGTGATCAGGCTTCTCGCGAGGTGAACCAATGAAATCGTCAGAGTTGCGGAGAGTCAATGGTTGCAAATGGCGAGTTAACGTCCGATGAGGAAGATAAAGGAAGACCTTTGTTTATCACTGCGATGGTCACGATATTAACTGTCTCACTACTGTTCGTAATGCTGTATTTTCTTGACTCCGTTTACGACGTCGGTTAAAAATGTATCCTAGTGTATTATTCAAGCCTATTGCGAATCATTTTCGAAATTCCGAACATAGTTTTATTTGAGTCGCCTGCGGCTCCGCCTGCGTGGATGACGATTTTACACCTATTCAATATTTTTTTTTACTTCCACGAATAAATTAAGACTAAAATTAGCCAAAACCGTTTGTTGAGTTATAACATTACAGCGAAAGTGGCATTGATTTTTATATATAGGTATGGGTAAAACAAATAACCGTCATAATCAAGCGAATTATTTTCGACATTCCGTACAATTGTTTTATTTGAGTATTCAATTAAGGATCGTATTCCAAAACAAATAAACATCAAAATCCATTGTTTTTACGCAGAATGGAAAGTAAATCAGTTCCAATATCCTGTTACCATGTTACGCGTGATTTCAATTTTTACTCAGGTAGAAAGTTTTTAAGCAAATATAATGCGTATTTGTTGCTCTATAAGGTCTCGTTTTGTCCTAACCTGAATATTTGGTTTGTTATTTTCAGTTGTTTTTTTTACCTGACAAAGCATAATTGAATATTAAGGACACCAAGATTTAGGTACTTATATTTCTTAATCTAAAGAATAAACTGTTTTGTGAGTACTATACATTTTATCCGTCATACGAAATCTCTCGTAATTTCATTCCATTTTAGGGAACAGACAGTCAAGTTCCCTAAGATCGGAAAGGAGGACCCTCCGACCAGTCGAGGCGATCATACCTGGCGGGCTACTCTCCGACAATTGTAAATATGATAGGATTTTATTTTATATTGATTAAAAATTTTTAAGTGTGGGAGAACCTTCCATCATGCTTCGGCACGATTGGGTCGGCTCGACTGGAGTGGTACCACGGCCTCGCAGAAAACTGGCTTGATATAACCATAGCGTTGTGTTTCGCCGTGTTAGTGAGGTTACTGGCCCAATCCTCCCCCTCCCAAGATCTCCAAATCCGTAATCCCCAAAAGGTCGGCAACGCACTTGTAACTCCTCCGTCGTTGCGGGTGTCCATGGGCGGTGCTGATTGCTTACCATCAGATAATACGTTTGCCCGTTTGCCGAAGTATCACATAAAAAAAGGGACGTGGAAAAGTTGTAATTGTTGTTACAAGCTTTCAAAAATCTCTCAATAACTGCTGCAACTCATATATGTAAGCCAAGATAATTATACATAATTATAACGAGAATGCTGAGACTGCGTTCCGGCATCATCTCATCGGGAAAGTTTGCATTTTCGATTAAAAACGTAAAGTAACCAAAGCAGCACTATTTATGCTTAAAGGTGCAGTTCCATTGAGGCGGAGCGGCGAAGACCTGTGCCACGATTCACCAATCATGACATCGGAGAAGAGATGTGGATTTCAAGCCATCTGATCGGTGAATCGCGGCACAGATCTTCTCCGCTCTGCTCCGCTCCGTCTCAATGGAACTGCACCCTAACGATCGAAGATATATTGCGAAGACCACTTCAGCAGGACAGGCTTTAGAAGCTACATCGGCTGTTGGCTTTTTAATTGGCACGTAGGTTCAGATACAGTAAAATATTTGTTAGTCAAATTATCACAACTAAGCTTACGTTTTTAATAATTCCAGCCTTTTATTGTGATACTAAAATCATCAAATGTCTTCTTTCGCCCAGGGTGAGGCGAGAGGGAGTGTCAGACTTCAACTGACTAAAAAACACCCCGTTCCGTCTCCTGCTTTAGGCCAAGGCATCGGTATCTCATGGCGTCGTGACCCAGGCCAAGCATTAGCCATGTTGGACCCCATCTGTGGTGGTCTATTGGACCCTTCAAAGGCGCGAGGAACGCTACGAGCTGCACACTTGGGTCTGGGTCTAAAAAATCGCTTCAAAATCCCTTGTGTTGTTTTAAAGATTTAAGCATACATAGAGATATAGGGAAAGAGAAAGCGATTTTGTTTTATACTATGTACCTAGTGATATTCTAAAACACTTCTCTTTTCATTTTAAAGTTAATCTACTTAAAGATCGGACTAAACCACAGTTTTAATACTAAAAACAGTATTAGTTTGTTTCCCATATCTGATTAAGTTACCCTATTTCTAGTCTAACTGACACATATCTATTCTAATAAAGAGTTTGTTTGTGAATGCGCTAATCTTCGAAACTACTGAAGAAGAAGGTTAGAGGTTATAAAACATAAAGCTGGTACTAAAAGGAGCCGAGGAGTGAGTGAAATAGCGTGGGAGTAGCTAGTAAAGGATAATGCGTTTAATTATCCATCAAAGACAATAGATCAAGGGCCTCCTTCACCACCTTCATACTATTAATCCGACCAACGACAAACGTTAAAGCATAATTATGCAACATAGTTCAATACGAATTACATTCCATATTCAAATCTAGTACAATGTGAAAAAGAAAAGGCGCCAAATGAAACCTATTTCGATTGGTCGAATTTTTTTCCATATTTTCTTAATCAACACCAAACCAAAGAGGTTTCTTACTTCGATTGGTATCTGCTTCTTTTCATTTTATAAGTTGTAGTATCATAATGACTCTATATCCTTATTCTTGAGATAGACACGCGGTTTGTTTCTTTTTTTAGGGAGAAAATCATCAGATCTCGTCCTGGTTGGCCTGTGAGAGGGAGTGTTAGACTCTTACTGACTGACCACCCCGTTGCTTCTCCTGCTCCATGCCTAGACTACGGTACATTTTTGCGCTTAACCAACAACCCCGGCTGAACATCAGCCCTGTGGGGCCACATCTGTATATAGGATGAGGATAGGACGAGCCCAGCTTAAAGTTGAGAAAGAGACACTCTTTAGACTTAAAAAACAGACATTCATAAGTGTCTGTTCATAATTCGAGTACTTATATATAATTGTATGCACACGCTATGCAAGTATGCAACTGCATCGAGACGGCGCGTCGTGCACTTGACCGTTTTAATTCTTGACTTTGTAAGCAATACCAATAAGTATTTGCATTTAAAGGGAACGTCATCTTTACGTGACGATCATATTAATTAAGTATAATATTCCTTTAACAATGTTGATTAGAAAATGTACAATCATGTCTTGTTTTCCAAGGGACATAGGTAGGTAAAGATCGATTTATTGATCCAAAAAAGTTTTTTAAGTCAGAACCATTTAGGATGGATGTTTGTTACTCTTTGGATTTTGATGATACTTGACAGCAATGTAGTCTGGAATACCACATAGGTAATTTTTGTTTGGGTAACGCAACGCGGGTGAAGAAGCTGGCAGAAACTTGATGAAAAAACAGTTTTTTTTTAATATGAATCAAACAGTCTTTGGTTTTCGTTACTTAGATGTATTCTGCACTCTGCCTGCACACTCTATTTCCTCAATTAAAAAAGAGTTATTCCAGTAATAAATACTTACCAACCAAAGCGGTTAATATCTGCCGTTTAGAACTGCTTTCCTTTTTTCGTTCCATGCTGGCTGAATAAACGATAGAAGCCGGGAGCCAAAACAAAAAAAACAATGTCACGTATAGGTTATTTTTTTTACGAAACACAATCACAAGTTATATTTAGAATCATGGTAATATTGTTATCACTTTTCGTAGTTCGCGCTCGAATTTATTTTATATGAATTATAAATGTCAAAAATATCGCGAATTAAAATCGTGCGCTTGCGTTCCGGTTGACGTCTGTCAAGCAACTACTTTTTATAACCTATAATCACACACATGTGTACTGCAAACAGTTATGCAAACACAGTTATGTCATTACCCTTCAATTACTCGTAAATCATTCTTATGCAACCACAATAGAGTTTAGAATCAAACGAATTGTGTTTTATCAATTGGTCTCAGGTTTTGGCGCCTCAACGGCTGACCGATTTCGTTGACCGCTCTTTAATTTAGCTGCAAGGGAATTTAAACTTTATTGTTTAAGTGGTAAAGATTATTATATCTATTTAAGGGGATGGTCAAAAATTGGTAGTAGTAGGTTCCCCAAAGATTCAAGGAAAGGATCGATGCTTCCACGTAGATATTGTTACACCATATTTATATTTGAATCTCCATTGAAATCAGTGTGTTTTCCTGTTCGTAGGTAATTGACGTATTATTGACATTAATTTGTCCGTTACATGAATTACGATGTCATGACATTCTGGCATCTTCTGTGTGTACAGTAGCAAGTAAACAGATATGGGTGTTCTGTTCTATCCATGCCCTATTATGTGTATGGAACTGGACCCCGTGCCTTGGCAGTTGTGTTTACAACCGGTAAATCTTCGTCCATCTTCTATACTTTACCTAATCTTATATAAAATTATGTATAAAATTAAATCCTGTTCTCTCCTCATAGTCTCCTAAATCTCGAGAACTACTGGACCGATTTTGATAATTTTGGTCTTGAAATTTTCGTGGAAATTTCAAGACCGCGGTTAATCACCTCAAAGATCAATCTATCCTCTTATGGAATGGCCTGCGCTAGGAAATCAGTCGACGAGCAGGCAATCATTCAAAGCCGGAGTTCGTAAGTACGGAGTTTATATGTATAGTCTATTTTTATATTTGTGGTACCTAATAATTTATAAATACATATGAGTTATAAGTATTATGTTTTTTCTTGATAAAAAACAGTCGCTCGACATTAAGATTTTCTCCTGTGTTGTGAGTGCGTTTACAAACATACAATTTCACATACACATCACACCCAGACCCAGAACAACAATTTGTGGATCACACAAAGAGTTGTTCCGTGCGGGAATAGAACCCGCGACACGTTGCACGGCAGCCAGTTGTCCAGCCACCGCGCCAACCGCGCAAACGAGATAATCCTAGAATGGGGCAACGTTTTCTTTTTTTAAAAAAAGAACACCGCATTCAAGAACAGGCATTATTCGTGGTTATAAAATTTTTGCCAACAGATGGTTCTTCACACCATATGATACCAGTATGAGAGGACCAGGAGATACATTGAGGGTCAGTACTATAAACATAAATAGGTGGTACAAGGAAAGGGGCATCCTTAAAATGCTTCCATACTACGTTCGAACTGGATACGATTCAAAATCAGGAAAATTTCATCCGGTCCGTCATTTTCTTAGAACCATATCTACTTATAGTAGTTTTCCCACTATATCTGTCACACATCATCTGATTTCTTTCAAGGAATATTGGGTTACTGTCTGTAGTAACTAGACTTGTAGTTTCACTGTTTTGGATCGAATTCAATCACACTGCCCTAGAACCGGGATTAGATAAAAAAAAGATCCCGACGATTTGAGAACCTCCTCCTTTTTTGAAGTCGGTTAATAAAAAAGTTTATAAGGAACGTTTTCCATTTTCCCTTAAATATGACCAGCAAGTATATTTCTAGTTAATTCCGTTGGAGTAAATATTTATACTCGAGTACTAGTTTCATCACGTAATCAATCCTTGCTAAGCTAATTTCGTCCGTATGACTAAGTAACTAAAGAATTCACAACCGATTGATCAGGAAACGTTTTATAGATTACAACCGCGTAAATAATGAACTATGTATTTTAAATTTGGAATTGTGATGGACTCCGTCCGATGTTTAATATAAATAGTCGGCGGGGTTGTCAACTGAAAAAACAGTGTGTCAGATGTTTTTTGGCGCCAAGCTTATACTGTTTGGGTAACTCTTTTGTGTACGAATTTTGTGTGTGAGGTGATCTAATGTCTAATTATTGTTAAATGTCAATAAACCTTTGTATGGAACGCCACGTTACATTAGTTAAATCCTCATTATTAATTAAGTTTGTATCATTATGCCTAGAGACAACTAATGCATTTTCTTTTCTTTTTTTTTCAGGAAATCATCACTGCCAAGATATAATTTTATATTTTTTTAATATTGAAGGTTTTGGGAATACGGTGTATTTCCCTAAAAAGGTAGTTTCGAGTCCCAGTCTTGATTAGTACCGGCCTGTAGTAATAATTGAATATTACTCATTAAAAATAAATTCTCTCCGGGCCACCACGACATCAGGCAAAGTTCATAGAAAAAGATATAGTTTTTGACATTTCAATGCAAGAATTGAATTTGACTACTTGAGAAATACCGTATGCAATAATAACATCTTATTAAATTGTTAACACTACTTTATTGAAAAAAAAAACCAAATGATATCCAATGATGTATATATAATTGGCTCTCCGCATTGTTGAGATATCTCATGATACCTCCCATATTATAATTTCAGGATATTTCCAAAGATATAGGTACCTATAGGAATGTTAGTCGTGTCTCACATCTGGCTTGGTGGCCGTTTCCCAGGCATTCTTGACATCTTCCCTTAGTCTATCAGGTACTTCTTGAGGTATACCTTCATGCAATGGCTCCTGGTGAACTACGCTTGGATCGATCTCATGTACTGCATCGATCAGTTCTGCAGTAGTCTTATATGACGCTATCGTCGATTTTACGAAATCCCTGGAATAAATTGTTATAAAATATACGCTTGTATGATACTCCGAAAGATCTTAATATTTATTAATCAAACCTTAATTCTCCTGTGTTGTTAAATACAGGTATTAGTCACTTATTTATAGTTACTGTCGTGCAACGTGTCGCGAGTTCGATTCCCGCACGGAGCAAGTCTTTGTGTGATCCACAAATTGTTGTTCCGGGTCTGGGTGTAATATGTATGTAAAATTATATGTTTGTAACCGCACCCACGATACAAGTGAAAATACTAATGTGGGGCAACGTTTAAAAAAATAAATAAATAAAATAATAACTGTAATTATGGATTGCTTATAAACTGATACGGATGTTCTCATATTTCAATACAAGTCTCCGTTCACGTTAATCCAGGGTATTATCTGTATACATACCAAATTTCAACCAAATCGGTCGCTGTTGCGTGAAAGAATATCAAACATACACCCATACATTCTCACAAACTTTCACTTTTATAATGTTAGTAGGATACCTAAAGTAAAAAGCCTTGACAAAGACAGCTGGCTGGTACTCATGGCCGCAGCGTTCAGGCCCGAAGCTCATGATTCCCATCAATCGGTTCTGTTGGACTGCCGGAGCGCCTGCGTCGAACTGTAAGCAACGTGTCGCGGTAACGTCATGAAGAAAGACTTATTTTTCAGGCGCTGCGTTAAATGCTAAACTCTTTTATTATATAAAAAGTTATTATAAGAGCAGCAAGGACGATTAAGTTAATTATTTTATGAAATTCGCTTATGTGGTAATTCGAGTTTCGACTGTTGTCAGAAAACGGATGAGGAAAAATCCCTAACAAAGTCCACTACAGGATGCATAATCACATACTACCATAGAGAATTTGAAAAGTCTTAAAAGATTAGGCAATTTTGTAATTTTGCGGACTGTAAAAAAGAATGATTAACTTATGTGTGGTGTGTCTTCCATGACGTTCAATGTGTTAAATAACTTAAACAATAGCTACTAGGCTGACATCATTCCATCAGATTTCTCATAACTTGCTTTCTTTCTTTTTTTTTAGATGAGGTAAGCAATCTACGCCGCCCATGGACATCAATTTTTATGAGATAAAAAAGTGCACTTGTAATTTCTTTAGTATTGTGAGTATCTATATTCTATAAAAAAACAATCTGCTCGATTCGGCCCATCATTCCCAAAACGTGATTCTTCCACGTTAAAAATGGATATTGTAAAGGCATACCAAACAAGCATCTCTGGTGCCGTTTCTCAGTGAGGCACAGAAGAAATCTGGAGTGAACTGGAACCCATTGACCAATTGGTAGGCGTCCATGCAGTAGTGGTGCGACCGAACTTTCAGTCGGCCCGTCATCAGGTCAGGTGTATATTCTCTGAAGGCTGTATCTGTACCCTATAAATAAAAACAAATGACTAGAGTTTTTAACGACAAAGAAATGACTTAAAAATTGAGATGATTTCTTGAACAGCGAGTTTTATAGAATCGGGCGTTACTTTGCGGAAATACGTGACATTTAATGTTATGAAATATATTTAGTTTTAATTCCGTGTCAAACATTCAGGTTTTTTGCAGGATTCAATCCCACTCTGCATGGGTATCACTCACATATGCACATGCAGAAAAGGTAACATGCATATGAACACGTGCAAAAAACGGACTTTTATTATTTATAATTATAAGTTTGAAATCGCCCATCCGCCTTGAGCAAGCATGCTCAAACCTTTTCGGTTTAAGAAGCTCAGCAGTGGACACTTAAAGGCTAATGAAGATAGTGACTAAAATGACCAGAAAATATCTAAGTATACGTAAAGTTGTTTTGGAATTTTGGAACGGAATCAATTTTTTTAGTAACATTCTAAGTTAACGTCACGTTAATAGTTCTGGACAGAAGAAATTATTTTTATTTTAATATAACATTTAATGGTCTATAAATGAGAAACAATGTTTACCCTTGTCGCTCCCCATCCAGTGACGACGACAAAGCTCTGCGCGAACGGTTCCTTGATACCTTCGTAAATCTTCAGCAGGTTCAAGTGCTTGTGGAACTCTATGTATAAATATACAACACATTAATTTCTGTGAGTGTCCTATTAAATTGGTTACTGGCTTGGTTATATTAGCTCTTTCAGGACTCGATTCTGTATGTCACAGTATAGAATACAGACGTAAAAGAGGGTGGAAAATCATAACTTCTCATGCCCTAGGTGGCGCTAGAGGGTGTCACACTTATATCCCTCGGGTCTAGTTCTGTTTCACGATAACTGTTATACTTTCTATCTTTTCTTTTTTCCTGTCCTTTTTTTATAGAAACCGTTATCCTACACTAGGATTTCCTCCTGTGTCGTGAGTGCGTTTACAAACATACATATAACTTCACAGGCACATCACAACAAGACCTGGAACAACAATTTGTGGAGCACACAAAGAGTTGTTCCGTGCGGAAATTGAGTCTGCGACACGTTGCGCGGCACCAGCCGTGCAGTCTTAATACTAAACTACTTGTACTAAAATAGGGAGATTGTACTAACCAAGGTTCTCAGCAAGTTTCAATAACGCGACATCAGCATGAGGCACGGGCTCCTCTTCAAACTTGGGGTGCCGTACAGCACCGGCTACGTCGACCAGTGTGCCTCCCTCGTGGGGTTTGGAGCTGCCTACGCGCACTTTGACATATTGCCCCAACGACTTCAGGGGGGACACGTGAAGGACACTGTGGGTTCAAAGCTGTTCTTTTTAAAATGTGATTCCATTCTTTTTTCATGTTTTTTTTTTATTTTCGTCAAACAAGGAGGTAACCCATTTCATGTATCACCTGATAGTAGGACAACAGCGTCGCTGTCGACACCAATACGAAACGTTTTGGTGTCAGTTAAGGATTTTGTATCCTTCGGTTTCGAGTTTGTGAATAGGCGGGGAAAAGATTTGTGCATGGGGAATAGGGGATTGACTTTTTTTTTTAATTTGCCCAACAATAAGATTTTCTCGTTTCATTCACATGCACCACCCAGACCGAAAACAACAGTTTGTGGATCACACAAAGTGTTGTTCTATGTAGGAATCGAGCCTGCAACACGACATGGAAGAACATCCTAGTATGGGGCAAAACTCTAGATATATAATAAAATCATCCAAACTTACTAATTCAGACAATGGGCAGCTGTGACAACCCAGTTGACATCAACAATAGTTCCGGCACACCATAATCGACCGTTAATTATAATGGCGGCCATATAGGGGAAGTTCTTCGTGTCACTGGCGTTACCACCACGGATCCTCAAGTTGGTTTTCGGCTGAGATATGTAGACCTGGTGTTCATTTCGGATACGTAATCCTGGTTTATGGTGATGACCACGACGACGAGATCCCTTTAGCAATTGTGGTCTGGGCTCTTCTAAACCCAATTGCAGATCTTTAAGCGAACAAGTTTTTTTTTATTATTTTGTTTTCTTTTTTTCTTATAGGGAGGTGAAGGTGTAGGCTGATTGCCTGATGGTAAGTGAACGGCTTCGCTCATGGATTCGTCAGAGGAGTATTAAAGCGCGTTGTTAGCTTTTCGGAGGTGGCGGATTAGGTCCTCCTATGACAAACGATTTCTTTTTTCCTTTGGTAAACTTAAATAGGTATATTGGTTCATTATTAAAATGGTTTTCTTATTGTTGTCTAAAGACGTTGAAATCAAATTCAAGTACTTATGGTTTTTCGATTTTCGAAATTCTCTGACCGATTTCCCCGTGATTAAAGTGTGAGTTTTACTAAAACTAACAGTTTCTGTATTAGATACTTGAACAGTTCAGTATACTACAAATATTTACGGAGTGAGTCTCAATGAGCATTGTATTGTAACAGCTGACCTGGCAACAGAGCTGCCATCTCACGGGGATACAATTTAGAAAAACCTTATCCTGGTCGTTAATATAAGGAAGTAGCGTGGCTTTAAACTAGGTTGTTAATTCGAAAGCCGATAAAGCTAATTTTTTTAAGTCAAGTCAAGTTAATTTTTTTAAGTAAGGGTCAGCAAACTGCGCAGCTGCAAACGGATTACCTGATGGTAAGCAATCAGCGCCACCCATGGACTCTTGTGATACCAAAGCAGTTACTACAAGTGCGTTGCCGACCTCTTGTGGGTTGTTAGGGGTAGGGGATTTAAGGATAGAGGATCAGGGGTGGGGAAAATTGGGCCTCAGATAACCTCACTCACACGGTGAAACACAACGCTGTGGTTGTTTTTCTGTGAGACCGTGGTATCACTCCGGTCGAGACGACCCATTCGTGCTGAAGCATTGTTTTGATCTCCCACACTTAATTCTTTTATTAAATATTTTTTAACTAATTAATACATACCAATATTAACATCACTACCAATTTTTCCATTTACAAAACAAATAACAGTGAACGTTAAAAAATATAAAAATATATTCGACATTTTTAAATATATACTACAATTGTGAATACATAGGAACAATATATGAACTATAAATGTAATTTATGACTCGAGCCGTCGGTTCGAGATTACTATTTTTATATTTTATTTATTTAATATTGTGAAATGTGTAAGTGGATTACCGGATGGTGGTAATTTCTCGGTTTTTATTATTGTACCTATTACGTTTATTTTTCTGATTGGTCCTTTTTTTTAAATTGGGAACGATACTAGAGTTTTGCATTTTGAAGGCTGTAAAATAATAGTTACAGACTTTAACATGATATTAAAAAAAAAAAAGATTTTCTATGGGCCAATTAGTGCTTTTAATATATTTTTTTATTGCATCATTTTATTTTCAACTTCAAGCAGAACATATCGATTTGTGCCTTAGGGATTTTCTACCAGTCAAGCCTTGGGTGACGCAGAGACGAGTTTTAATTTCGCATTTCTTAGCAATTAAAACATATCTATCTGATTCTCATTGTACATAGGAGATTAGCCTATTATCGAGAGTTATGATTCCTTATTCATACTACTCATCATCATCAGCCTATAAGTGCCCACTGCTGAGCAAAGGCCTCTTCTCGCACAGAGAAGGTTTGAGCATAAATAACCACGCTTGCTCAAGGCGGATTTTCGATTTCAAACTTATAACTAGAAATTACAATTCCAGGTTTCCTCACGATGTTTCCCTTCACCATTATGTCAATAGTGTGTAAATGTTCATAGAAAGTAGGTACCTATACATATGTTAATACTCGGAAAAAGTCACATTGGTATTTGCCAGGTTTCGAACCCTTATACATATAAAACTACTTTCCAAAAACTATATTTTGATATTTGCAATTTTGCTTGACTCAATAATTAGTCAGTAATTATTCAAAGTATAAGCTCGTTGGGCGTCAACATTACTATACTTAGAAGTTATAAGTACCTACATTACCAGTATTTTGGAGTGGAATTTGACGGTCGTATTTGATGTTCTTTTGATTGTTTGGTCACCAGACGGTTCTCCAAAAAACCTTATTTTTTCAGCATTTATTATTCTTCAGGCGCATGAGTTATTGGGATCAGTGTTAATAATAAATAAAACAAAATATTTCATATAAATTATTGTCTTTTAACGTCATATAGACATCTTATTACTAATAATACCAAATTATTAAACGTTATTAATTCGTCATAATATCACAATCGGTAGTCGGGAGGCACATATCACTATCTTCCTGCACACTCGAAAATGTACACAAACGTACAGCAATAAGGTGCAAAATTAATGGGCAGGAAGATTGCTTGTTTGAGAATCCATTATGTACAGAAAAATTCACAGTTCCTTTTTGTTAACGTGGCTTGGTTCAAAATAAAATGAATCTTTTGTACATTGTTTTAAAGACGACTGTCGAATTGATGGATTTTGCGCATAACAATTTTTATTACAGCGACATCTTGTTTGTTTCGACGGAACTGTCTTTTTTTGTAGTTTTTCTGAGGCTCATATTTTTTATTTCTTTTATTATTTATTAACTTAAAAAATACGTATTACCTTTACAATATTCCTTTTAACAATAGGTAAGTACTTATATCAATTAAAAAAACAAAATAAGGTTATACATACAAAATACATACTTTTTTCTTTGCGATTTGCGTATTGATCTACGTCAATATAGTATAAAAATTTCACATTCTAAATTTAAAATTTACTATTTATAACAAAATGAAATAAAACGAAGACAACATATTTACGTATAGCAGTTATAAATAAAACAATTAATGAAATTGTATGGTATTTGGTCTATCCTATCTACGAGTAAATGAATTATTAACGGCTGTAAAAATGGAGGCTGATGACTTTGAGATGCAGTTTTTTTATTGAAATTATGCAATTTTTTTAATATACAACACATTTTCTCATATTTCCTCTAATCAACAACAATTTTCATTCGATTTTGACCAATAAAATACACATTACGTATGTTGTTTCGTCAACACCCTAAACCCATCAATTCGACAACTCTCATAAATGCTTATAATCTACTCATCTCTTTCCCACACTCCAGATCGTCTATCCCTTTCCTCTTCTCCTTCTTTCTGCTGTCTTCTAGAATCGCGTATATCTCTTCTACAGTCTTATCTTTAGTTTCTGGGACCCACATGACAGTGTAAAATGTCCCTAAGAAACAAACTATGGAGAACATGATGAAGACCCAGTGGATTCCCAGGAGTTTGAGGAGTGGGTCGTAGGCTTTGGTTTGAAGGAAGTCGCTGAGGGCATCCACGGAGCTGACGAAGGAAGTCACCATTCCACGATGCTGAAAGAGATGGTTGGTTTGTTAGATACCATTGATTATGCGAAAATGGTTACATATTTTGGGCATTGTTAGTAGGAGATTATTTAAAGTGTGTACATGTTTAGCTATTTTTCTTTTAAATTATGAATAATAAATAAAAAGTACATGTTGACGTCTGTCCACGTTAAAATTTCTATTGTTAACACCAAAAACTCGACTAAGAAATAAAATGTTACATCTATACTACCATAGAACTACAGTCACATAAGGTTAAGATCTAAGGCTAAGAATTTAATAAAAAGATAATGAAGGTGAGGATATTTACCTGAAATGAGAACAGCTCTGAAGTAATAACGTAGGGCACTGGTTGGTACCCTGCAGCATCAGCAAAGATGCAGAGACACATGGCGAGGACTGGCAGCCAGCCAGGCAGCCAGATGTTCAGGGAGGTGATGTAGAACCAGGCGCCCAGTGCCAGCATTGATATGCCTGTTGCTAGGGAAGTTCCCGCTAGAAGCCACTGGAAGAAATAAAGAAAAATTTTCAAGACGGGTGGTCATAATAGCGATGTTGATGATCCGTTTGGTCAAATGGATTAATTTTAGTAAAATTCAAAGTCAAAATCATTTATTTCATGTAAACTATACACAGGTTTACTTTTTTTTAATAAAAACACAAAATTTAATATAGTTTGTCCATCAGTTTGTCAGTGAATAGAATATTTTATTTTTGCAAATATGGGTAAACAATAGGTGGTTTACCCATATTTGCAAATATGATAATACATATAATACAGATCAGCAACATTTTGCCATTCGGCATACAAAGCATTGAAAATTGGCGATGGCTAGGTTGCTCGTTCCGGAGCGTTGATTCGGATGGAGAAGAACGAGAATTCCATTTATTCATAGAGAATTCCGTTTATTCATTTAGGATTCCATATTAGTAAAACATTAATTTAAATTTGTAGACGCTGGTTTCCTAACGAGATCAACGTTTCAAGTTCGATTTTTGAAGTCATTATACTCTTAGTTGGTTTTATACCACCCATTCAAAACTACATAAGTATAATATAATTAGATAATTGAAGAAAACTGGTTGTAAAAACGACACACGGTTGCCCAAAAAAAATAGACAAAAAGGGCCAAATAAAAAGCAAGAGAAGGAGAAAAAGAAGAAGGAAAAAGAACCATTAAAAGAAGATAATCTCACCTTTCTACCAGTCTGTTCCACAATACAGCTGGCCACCACACTGCCCAGCAATTGGATAACACCCACAACAATAGTTTGCTTGTTGGGACTCAATTTCAGGCTGATGGACTCCGAAGCTTGCTCGAAGATGGAGCCAGCATACATGAGCACCACTAGGTATCCACACGTCTCTTGGGACAGCATCACGTTGAGGGATATGCGAAACGCCTTGAACGTTGTCTTGTCTTTAACTGCAAATAAGAATTTCGGATGTTAATGGTAATTTTTGAAATAGTATATACTCGTATACTAATCGTATGGTAATTATGTAATACTAGCTACTCTCGCGCTGTTTCACCCGCTGCTCGGCTCCATTTAATCGTAGCGTGATGTTTTATAGCCTATTATATTATATAGCACTCAGGAAAATTGTAGCTATCAGTGAAAGAATTTTGGAAATCCGACCAGCGGTTCCAAAGATTACCTCCTACACACAAACTTAAAAACTTACAAATTTTACCTCTTTATAATATTAGTATAAATACTCGTATGGTAATTTTGGAAACGTATATAGTCTTTAAAAGAAAACTGGCTAGTTGCTTGATTTAGAAGACTCCAAGAAGATTAGGAAAAATGTTATGACGTTTTTTATATATGTGATAGGGACTTTTTAATACACATTCAGCCTAAAAAGGAGATATTATACAGTTTTTTTTTCATTTCTGTAAATCTTTACAGCGGCGGCGGCGGTTTTGAGGTATGTATATGATCGACGTCTCCCGCCAAAGTTAGAGCGAGACGTATCACTCTTACTGACTAAAAGCAATCTTCTTCTTCTGCTCCGGGCCTTGGCCGCGGTTGGCACATAAAAACTTGTGTTTACGTTATTTTTTTATTCTAAAAGAGCCGCGTTTTTATGACTTGTAATTCAATTAATTTTGAGAATATTTATTGCCGTCTTAAATCAGTCGTTGTTTGACGAATCAACTTGAGTACCAGTTATCTGAATAATCTTCTGGACTGTCAAATCCAGTATTAAGATGATGATTGATTCTAAGAATACTCGTTTGCATACGTTCGGCATTATTTATTCATGGAGTTTTTTTCCAGAATATCCAGTTTGGATGTTTATATTTTTATACCTAATAATTAGATGTAGGTACCTATTCTTAGAAACACGATTTTAACGTGCGAATTAAAGTGTTATAAGCTAATTGGTACCTATAAAATAAATTTTTTGTTTGTTTTTCTTCTTCTATACATACCTACATAATACTGGGAAGTGATAAAAGTTATTAGCGCTGTATTTTGTTCATGTTTGTATTTTGCTAATATTTTCGTGAAAGAGGTAATTATATTTTCAGAGATTCAAATTCAAATTATTTATTTGTGGAACCTAGGTACATATAAGATATAATTACAATGTTAGGATCGCTATGTAGATACATGGTACAAATACGTCGTACATGGGAAATGCATATACAGTTATGCACAATGTTGTGTTTCCCCATGACTGTTTTGTCTTTTCCCATCTCCAACGCCAAATATTAGGGGTTTAACTGCAACTAAAATAATCTATTTTAGTGTCGAAGGTGTTCATTGGTGGCCGACCTAAAATTATTCAAAATCATTTATTTCAATTAGACCCATACCTACACGCACTTTTGAACGTCAAACTTAAAATTTTAAAGATATAAAGTGTCAGTCTGTCAGTCAGTCCTCTTAGTAAGCCATTTGCTCGTTCTAAAGTGTAGATTCCGATGGAGAAGAACGAGCAAGAAACTCCATGGTTACTCTTTTTAAATCAGTGTCACATAAAGATTCTTTGATACATTATTTAGTTGGTTTGATTATGTGAGAAAAGAAAATAACCTTAAAGACAATAGACAGTCCGGAGCTGACCAGTCCTGATTGACGGCGCCCGTTCACGAACATGACACGTACACCAGCACCGCCCAACTCAACCATAATAAAGGGAATCGAGTAATCCAGTGACCGTGCCACCGCCAGTGTGACCTTTGAGTGAGCATGACAACTCCAAGCTGACATAAGGACCGACATTCTGCTAGTCTAACTAATTGTAATAAATATTAAAATTACCATTATTTTGTTAATAGCCCAACTCACCAAAGAGATTAATTCTGTAATATTTCTATTTTTTTTAAAACACCTCCAACAAATTACAATTACAAAATGTACATATAAATCGGTCGAGCCGTTTTCGACTTATCAGCTTAGTAACAGATTTGACAATTTATTTTTACTCTACACCTACATAACTGAATTCTTTTTGTTACGTAGCATATCGTATTGCTGAAATCTATATTAAAACAAGTGAAACCGAGGACAAGAATTAGTAAAAATAAATTCTTCCGTATTTTTTATTTTTAGTTACAGCTATGGCATTCTGCCCTAGTGTTCTATTTTATCTGGTCTCATTAGTAATCTGTATGAAATTTTTAATGGGTTACATGGTGTGGAAAATGTGCGAAAAATGGTCATACTCTCAAATAAGCAGTAATGTAAAAAGTTTAAGGTTGAGAAGCTCATATACTTAATATGTATAAATAGTAAGATTTAATTATAGACAGCTAGACAGACATAGGGTTCATTTTGATGAAAGTTGTAAAAAGAATTTAATTAGGTATTTTAAGATATCTACAAACTATAATTAGGTAAATTATATGGATGCTCTTAATTACGGACATGAATTTTTTTTTTAGGGTGCGTTTGGTCGTCCGGAATTGCCAGTAAAAAGCGCAACAATGTACCTACCTACCGCGCACTAAGCTCAGGGTAGAAGGAAGAACTTGGCTTTTAGTCAGTAAGAGTCTGGCACTCCGTCTTGCTCCTACCGGGTCGGGAGAGTAATTGGATGAGTTTTCCTCGTCACAAATGTTATATCATTTCAATCAAGGGCAACATACTAATGCTTTATGTATGTATAAGATTTTATTATATTTTTATTTAATTTTATTTTAATAAAGACTTAGTAATGTATATATAAGATAAGATAAGATTAATTTATTGCATAAACTGTGTACATAATGATATTAAAATACAATGTTTTGACTCAACAGTCTATCCAAGTCGGACATGCAATATTATATTGAAATAAAAAAAAAAACATGACATTTCTGAATTCTACTTTTTAGCAAAATACTCATTCAAGTTATAAAAAACATTTTCAATAATAATTCAATTATAATTAAAATAAAATCAATAATTTATTTAAATTTCTTTCCTCAAGTAAATAGATGACTTCCAAGAGATCTTCCATCCTCCATCTTATATCTGGTTGCAATTTATAAATGATCTTGCAACCAGCATCAGGGAAAAGCCGTATTTCTGAGAAACCGGTCCCAAGCCCCGTTTTAACCGTATTTGCATGTGTTTAAGTGAAATGATATGTCGTATTGTGCTGTGTACATGAGTTCTGTGGTTTTTATCGATGTATTAAAATCAGCAAGAGTAACTTTGCATTTATAATGTTCCTATTTTATTACGAATGCTGCATTCCTGATACTAAATTTCTCCAATATTTAATGGATTAATTAAATACCTACCCACTTCGCACTCATGCGAAGCTGATACCAAATTTCTCCAGTATGTGATAGATGTTATCTATACTAATATTATAAAGAGGTAAAATTTGTATGTTTGTAAGTTTGTATATAGGAGGTCATCTTTGGAAATGCTGGTTGGATATCCAAAATTTTTTGACTGATAGGATAGCTACAATGTTCCTGAGTGCTATGAGGCTATAAATATAAACATCACGCTACGATTAAATTGAGCCGAGCAGCGGGTGCGGCCGCACAACAGTAGCTTTATTAATACATATAAATATTCCTCTTCAATCGCTAACTAAAAAAACGCAAAAAGGCCTTTGAGTACTTTAAATGATTTAATTAAGCATACCTACATAGGGATATAGGGACAGAGAAAGCGACTTTGTATTATACTATGTAGAGTGTATATCAATTTGTATTTTCTATTTTCATCCAAGGTTTTTATAAATTGAGACTTTTAAATTAGAAAAATGGCTCTAACCCAGAACTTTTGTTAGAGATGGTTAAGACATGAAATTACTTTTTTTTCCCTGGGTTTTTTTTTTGTGAGGGGAAAATCATCAAATGATCTCTCCCGTCCAGGGTCGGGCGAGAGGGAGTGTCAGACTCTTACTGACTAAAAACCCCCCGTACCTTCTCCTGCTCTGGGCCGAGGCCACGGTCATTCATTGCACTTAACCCGCAACCCCGGCTAACCCAGTCCTTAGTAATCGTTTTCGAATCAAAATCGTTCGTAAGGGTGTAATGGTTTAATGAAATCATTAAATATTTCTGAGTATGTTTAAGCGTATAAGTAACAGGTTTAACAGTGTCAGGTAAAATAATTTTGCTGGCAACTCAGGATGTAAACTGACGTAGGCTTTTGCCTGAATTATTCGAGTGTGAGTCGATTGGTATCAGGTTTTTACTATATGCAGTGTGTTTGCTTTAATATTTACCTGTCCTACTTATATTATTTACACAAAAGTTTATAAGTATGGCTCAAACTTAAGTTTATTAAGTTAAAATTTTAATTAATTTCTTATTTACGTAAAAACTACAGAACGGATCGGAATTAAATATAGCAACAAAACAGATTATTTAGTCTGGAAAAACAGTAGTAACACAAATGTAGAAAATAGGAGGAAAAATATGCATAAATATTTCTTTGAACAGTGTTATACGATTGAGATTGTCCTTTTTTGTGAGGGGAAAATAATCAAATGCCCGGTGTGAGAGAGTGTCAGACTCTCACTGACTAAAAACTCCCTGTTCTTTCTCCTGCACTGGGCCGAGGCCGCGGTGAATTATTGCGATTAACACGCAACCCCGGCAGGTTTTCATCGCCTAGGATTAACATTTACTTGACTTAGGTTACAAACAAAAACATAAAATATAATAATTACATGTAAATGTTGTTTTTATTTTTGTAACAGCATGTATATAATCGTACGTCGCGTGCCACATCACATTACGGGGAGGCGGTAAATATATCCCAACGAGTGAGAGCTCTTCTCAGAACCGCAGTCTAACCTCATTCGCAGTAATATGACCTACAACCCGTACGCCATACGGTTTATTTTCGTAATCAATTTACCATGGCTCATATGACCTTTTCAGACACGTGACCATAGATAGGGACCAGTTTTTGTAACTTGTTTTTTTTTAAATATAAGTATATGAAATATTTGTTTGTTTTGTAGTATGTAAAGAATGAGTCACGTTTTAAAAATGTTTGATGACACATTTAAGTAAGTATTTGGTCATTTTAGCCGGTTTGTTATAATATTAAAAAAACACGGTTATCATCCAGGTGGCACGAAAGAGTTCATGTAAAAAAACCTCATCGGTTTTCAATTAGTCTTACTCATATTTCGGCCAGTATCAATAACTTACTTACTTGTAAAATATGGGAGACCGACCCCGTTACTCAACTAATGCTGTTTGTTACAGTCAAAAACAAATTATTAAAATTTTTTATCAATGTAAAAAAAAAATTGATAATCACACTATCACCTCATACACAGGCATCAAACTATTTAATGCTAGTATTTTTCTATCTAATTGACAAGAAATATTATGTATATGTATATGTATCTTACGCAAAAAATAACAACACACATCATATCCATCCTTTTCAACTCGTCTGCCACGCGTGGAGATCAAAGACTATATAGAACAGGGTTTATTTTTACTTTTTTTAAATATAGTAAAAAAGAAAATTGTCCATTTTCTACCGCAAATATAGGATCTATTTAGTCAGAGTATAGTATAGGAGCCTAAATTAGGGAAGCCCAGGACATAAGAGTAAGTGTGGGAGAGCCATGCTTAGGCTCGAATGGGTCAGTTCGACTGGAGTGATACCAAGGCCTCACAGAAAACCGGCGTCAAACTACCACAGCGTTGTGTTTCGCCGTGAGAGGAGGCCCAATACTTCCCCTCCCCCAATCCTTCCCCAATCCCTAATCCCCAAAAGGTCGGCAAAGAACTCGTAACTCATTTTTTTTGCGGGTGTCCATGGCGGTGTTGATTGCTTACCATCAGGCAATCCGTCAGCTCGTTTGCCGACCAATTACATAAAAAAAATAAGACTAATACCGTCAAAGTTTGCCCAAAGGTTAACGTTCGCTTCTCTTGCAAGAGAACGGGTTCAAAACCTGGCAAGTACCAATGTGACTTTTTTCAAGTTATATGTAGGTACTTTCTATGATTATTTAGACCTCACTGACATGCGGTGAAGAATAACATCGTGACGAAACCTAGACTATTTCTCTCAAGTTAGTGCTCAAACCTTCTCTGGGTGAGAAGTGGCTTTTGTTCAGTAGTGGGCACTTATAGGCTGACGATGATGAGATAACGGCCACTTCAGGAAAAAGGAGTCCCACAGTTCAACACGTCAGGCGAAGACAAGACATGTTGACAGAGACAGTACACGCGATGGACGTACGCGAACACGTGACAGAAACCCACGTGACCACGGGGAACTTCGTGCGGTTTTTTTTTTCTTGAGATTGTCATTAAATATTTTATGCCTGTCGTGTTAAGTTTTTATCAAAAGGTTTTCTTGTTCAATTACTTATGTAGGTTGAGTCAAATGGCATGGCCGTCGTTGTTAGCTACTGATCTTGTTTTAGTATTAAGTCGGCGTGAATATCCTGGTAATTAGTTATTGATGAACTACGGTCAGTACTACTTAGTAACTTATCAGGAAATATTGTAACTTATTGCCATTTTTATTTGTTTGGCCAAAAAAGCTTTTTTGTCATGATAAAATCATTATTTTTTTCTCCCGCCCAGGGTGGAACGGGAGGTCCCCTCGTTCCTTCTTCTGCTCTAGGCCGAGGCCGCGATGCCTTTTTGCGCTTACCCGCAATTCCGGCTTAACATCTGCCCTATAGGACCTGTGGTGGTCTATTGGCTCTTTGAGGCGCGCGCGGAACGCTATGGTCTGTCGCGCCGTACGCTCAGGTCTGGTTGTGGTCAGGCGGCGAGCTGCCATTACTCGCCGTCCGCAGACCCGCGCTTACTTTGGCCAGAGATCTTTCGATCCGCGTTGCAATAGAGGCTAAAGTTATCGAAAGTATCGATTATAGGAAAGGCTGCAGCACATTGATGCACTTGCAACCACAATAGAGGTATGGCTCTTGCTAATACGAGTTAATGAATATCAGCTTCATATACATCTGTTATCGTAATAGTCCCTTACCACGGAGTAAGTTCTTAATCAAGAAAAAATGGTGCCTTTAATTGAAATAAAGTTTAAGTTTACCTATACTCTTCCAGGTGGCTTTCTTCATACTCCTGGCGTATTCCTCCTCTCTTTCCAGTTGTTGTATAGCTTCCTCAAGGTCCTTGTCATCTGTCGTGGTGTTCCGGAGCCAGGCTAGTGCTGCACGAGCTTCCTGCAAAATGTATGGCATTTAGGGCTTGTTTTACAATGTCTGAATAGCCTCTACGTGTCAGATAATTGGAAGAGGTGACCCACAGTCGAGACTTTCATGGGCTGATGTTTTTTTTTATTTATAGTTATTGACCAACGCCCACCATGAGTACCCGAGGATCAGACACCAGAGCATCAGCCACGTTTCCCGAATACAAGACGTACACTCATTTTTTGATTGTTAGATGTTCGTATTGATTCGGCAATACCTCCTTCAAGACAGTTTTGTAAAAATCGCACAGCAGTTGACTGCCAACCATCTATACAACAGGTATGAAAGTGTTTTTGAAGACTATGTACCTCATTATCATTGACATGCATTGACTTTCCAATCACTCTCTCTCTCTTCCTTTTTCTCTCTTTTTTCAAACTCTTACCTTTATCTTCCCCTGTTTGACCAGGAACACAGGCGTCTCAGGCATTGCGATGAAGGCCACGAGGAATATAGCTGGTACTGAGGTGCAGAGCCATAATACTGCGTCAAATGACAGGAGATCCCCTGCCACGTAGACCACTAGGTAGCCTAGGTTCTGTGATAGGATGAACAAGGAGCCAAGAGCGCCTCTGATGTTATCTGATGCTATCTGCAAGAAAAAAAGACCTTTAGAATGGAAAATATACATCAGTTCTCTGATACAAATTTCAGCTAGTTACAAGAGTTGAGATAGGTCAGTAAACGAGCAGACTGTGCTTAGGCACTTATAATACCAAAGGAGTCGAATGCATTGCGGACTTTTTGGGTGTTTCGGGATCGGGCTTTGGGATGGAGTTTCAAACAGGTTTTCTGTAAGGCCTTGGTACCATTTTGGTCAAACATGTCATTTTTCCCGAAGCATGACTCTTTCAATGTCCATCTTCTTTGCGTTGCTTTTTCTTTTCTCTCGTTTGACTTGTGTATGAATGTCAATTGTCCATATAAGGTGTTATTTGGTATCGAAAATCCTTAAAATACTACTTAATTGTTAGATGAAAGCTAAGATCTCATGTGTTCAAGACACGTGTAAGGGTTTAGGATTTTGTAGTTATATCAATTGTATTTCGGACAATTTTGGTGTCAATGACTTAACAGGAAAATAAGTCGTAGGTAAAGAGAAAGAAAAAGTCTTGTCATACATATTATTTTAAAGCAGAGCCGTATATAGCCTTTAAGCAAAATTGGCAATTTCCTGGGGCACCAAAGTGCGGATAGAGCGGAGGATGTCTCTTTAAAAATTAAAGTCGCTTAGAGGTGTTTGAGACCTTGGGCGTTCGCCAGGGTTAATTCACTTTTGTATACAAGTGAATGATTTATTTACGTCATAAATAACACAATTCAATTAAGGTAAAATAATGACGTACCTTCATTTGTTACGACTTTCCTTGGACGTCAAATGACAACAATATCTTTGCCTCTCTGTGTCATAATATTCCACTACTACAATTGTTACAACACGTTTTTATGAAAGTGCTCGGGTTTACCCACATTACCTACGTATTTTAATTACTATTGTGTCTGACAATGAATGACTTTCCTCAATATTACAAATGAAAAATTTGAGGTAATGATTAATGAAATATTAGTTTAATAATAATGACAATATCATTGACGTTAAAGTATTTTTCATTAATGAAGAAAAATACGTGGCAGTAAAAACCCCTAGAAGAAATCATTTTATGATTTCTTGAGCAAAATATCGCTTCATTAACATTTATGAGTTTGGATTTTTTATTATTTTTTAATGAGAATCTTACGAGTTGTTTTAAACCAATGCTTGTATATTAACTAAGACTGTTTTAAATCGCTTATTTTTTATGTAATAGGTCGGCAAACGAACAGACGGATTACCTGATGGTAAGCAATCAGTGCCGCCCATGGACACCCATAACGGAGAAGTTACGAGTGCGTTGCCGACCTTTTAGGAATTTGGGATTTGGAGATATAGAGATTGAGGAGGGATTGGGGGAGGGGAAGGATTAGGCCTCGGGTAACCTCACTCACACGGCGAAACACAACACTGTGGTTGTTTGACACCGGTTTTCTTTAAGGCCGTGGTATCACTCCGGTCGAGCCGACCCATTCGTGCCGAATTACAAGTCAGACTAGATGTCTTCAGATGAGATCAGATGTAAATTATAACTCTTTGTACGATTCACAAGTTGTTGGGGTCAAGGTGCTCTTTGTTTTTATGCGATATGGCAAATGAATAACCTGATGGTAAGCAAACCACCAATCATGGACTCCCGCAACAATAGATGAGTTACGTTGAATGCCGACCGACTTTTCGGGTATTAGGATTTCGGAGATTTAGGGACGGAAGAGGGAAAGAATTGGGCTTCTGGTAACGACATTTACACGGTGACTTGGGTGTTTCACGTCGTTATTCTGTAAGGTCGTGGTATCACTCTAGTCGAGCCGACCCTTACGTGCCGAAGCATGGATCTCTTACACTTACATTTAACTTACAAAATTTCCTAAGTCACTTTTAACCAAATTTGCAAAGACTCTTGCACATACTAATAGGTGTAGTATTTTATTTATTGAAGATATTTATCTCAAAGCTAGATTAACTTACCTCCTTTAAGTATAACGGTATCACAACATAGCAGCCTGCGCACGCGAGCCCGGCCACAGCTCGCGAGCTGATGAGGGCCCAAGGACGGAGAGAGAATAGGGTGATGGTCCAGCTCAACTGTAGGAACATGAAAAAGTCTTTTTAGTACTTAAACATTTTGATGTCGAAAATAATATTAATAAAGTAGTGGAGGTTTTTTTGTGAGGGGGAAATCATCAAGTGGGTTCTCTGACTTCTCTGGCACGGGGCGAGGCGAGGGAGACTTTTACTGATAAGGGGGGGGTCCCTTACTTCTCCTGCTCCAAGACGGTACCTTATTGCTTTGCTCGCAACCCCTGCTGCGAAATGTTTTGGGCGGCATAACGTCAGTTAAGCGTTTCAGAAACTTGTAATCATGAATTCCTTGGAATGCCTGAGTTTAGACTAAAGGCATTATGACAATATGAATTTAACAAAAGCGGCATTGTTAACCATAGATGAAGATAAAGATGTTTTTTTTAAATACCTATTTAGTTTTTATAATTTTGTAATTTCCTGGGTTTTTTCGATTAATCGGTGTTAACCAAGTATAGCAAATACACATTTAAGAATGAGACATTAGAACTTCTTAAGTTTTCCTGTAATTTTTTTGTGAGAAAATAGTAAATTACTAATTATAACTGTTTGGCGAAGAACTGAACAAGGACAGCTATACATTTTTATGCTCGCAACCCCAGCTGATGAATATAATAATCTCCTCACCTGGCTTGAAACGAATCGAGTTCTTCATAAAACAGTTACGTTGACGTACGCTAACCTTTTTCAATTGTCATAATACATACATTAAGATCGATATGTGTATTGTGTACTCAAACAAACCGGTCAATTAACAAGAGCACAAATAATTTTATCGGTATCCTGGATCAAGATTAATTGGTAGTGGGATCATACCAGTTGAGTCATTAATTTAACTTATAACAGGTCTGAGTCAATAAGCTGCAATTGACCTGGCTGACTGTTTAAAAACAATATCTCTATTGAAGCCGACAAACTCCAACTGCTTATAAATGACTACTTGAATTCTTCCTCTTAACAATCATGAAAATCTCCAAAAACCTTAATCCCCAAAAGATCGGCATAGCATTTGTAACTTCCGCCATTATTGTGAATGTCCATGGGTGGCGCTGATTGCTTACCATCAGGTAATAAGATGGCTCGTTTGTCGTCCAATATTAAAAAAAAACTTTAAAAAGTGTCAGTGCGTCTGTCTGGCCTCTTAGTGAAGCTATTTATTGTCTTGTGCTTGTTTTTGTGACTTATGGTGTTATCTACATGAGTCATCATCATCAGCCTATAAGTGCCCACTGCTGAGCAAAGGCCTCTTCTCACGCGGAGAAGGTTTGAGCATTAATCACCACGCTTGCTCAATGCGGGTTGGCGATTTCAAACTTATAATTAGAAATTATAAGTCCAGGTTTCCTCACGATGTTTACCTTCACCGTATGTCAGTGGTCTCTAAATAATCATAGAAAGTACATATAACTCGGAAAAAGTCACATTGGTACTTGCCAGGTTTCGAACCCGCACCCTCATGCATGAGAAGCGGGCGCCTTAACCTCCGGGCCACCACGACTTTTTATGTATTTTATTACGACATTTTTATCTACATGAGTAGTCGAATAAGAATGCAGGTCGAATTTTTGGTCCATATCTACACGCTACGAGGAACCATTAAGGTTGTTAAAAAATTAACAAAAAGATCTGCAGTGATTGTTTAAGCTGTTATCAGCACAATTTTTAAAAGATCTTAGGATAATGAAGCATCCTGCCTGCTTTATCATGTTCTTCGTTTAAATTGTTCAATACAATGCAATGTTTTTTCTATTTACTTATTAATGTGACTTCATATTTTGTTTTAGAAGATGGTCACAGTGTTCCAATTCCAACAGTTCTCCATCAGTTTAGTCATAAATTTATTTTAAGAAATGTCAGAAGAAAACATTCGAATTGAAATATATATTTGGTAATGTAGTGTATGTAAATACATAGTTATGTTTGTCTCGAGCGTATACGTCACAACTGGCATCCGGTGGAGTGGGCAGTCGGTGTCAGACGGTTGAACTGGTAACACGTGGTGGTACGTTGGCGAGCCAAATAGTATAATACATTATATATCAGTGAATACTACATTGGCGACGAGGATTAAAACAGTAAGTACGACATTAAATATATTTGGAAAAAAGGAAGGACGAATGAGCAGGAAAAAAGAACTACAAAATTATTTTTAATTATACATATACCCAACCTGCAGCAACTAATTAAAAATAATTAATTTGTTTATCAGTCAAAATATTTGGGTATCAGAGAAATATATTCAAAGCAGTGCTCGTAAATAAGTTATTTACTAGTACTACAAAATGCACCACGGTAGTAACAACGAATGACACGTGCAAGCGATTAATTAATTCCGGTATATGAAAAAAAAAAGGTGCAGGTACTATATCCGCTATGCACATACAAATTACTTATATAAACGTATTAAGTAAACATACTTGCACCCATATTTTAGGATTATGTGAACGACTATACTTATACCACACAATTAAATGCAGTTTTAATTAAAATATACATCTTAGGACTGTCTACGACCTTCACGTGAATTCCGGTGTAGACAAGAACAATTGTATCAATGAAATAATGATTCTCTGGAAAAAATATAAGTATAAAGTTCAAACTTGCACAAATTTAATAATGATTGGTAAACATATTTAGAAAACATTTAATAATAATTTATTATTTCATTTTCACATCATGGTTGTTTAAATCTTTTGTATGTAGGTATCACCTGTTTACATTTAAACTTGTTACTCGTTATCGGCACCTATAGAAATTGTAAAGAATACCTATTAACAACAAAATAGTGTTTTATGTCCATAACATTAGGATTAATAATTGATTGATTGGACTAACACAAGCGGTAAATAAATAACTTTATCACTGCATGTATACCGTCAATCAACATTTATCTTTTGTGCAAATTTATCTTCACAGTTTCGTCGACATTTAGTTATAATAACTAAAATACTATTAAGTACCTAAGTCGTGCTCCCACTGCTATATGTACCTAGTAAATTGAGTGGGTATTCCTTAAAGTAAAGGAAGTAAAATTGTCCTTAGGTAAAAAAATAAAATAAAATAAAATAAAAGCAGTACGGCACAATATCTTTACGTGTCGGTGCAGCCAACTATACATACATAAAAGATACATAAATTACGTTACCATGAAATATTGTATAATATATTATTGTATCCCATGTAATATGTTACAGGTCATGAAATTACATAAAAAAAAAAAAAAGTAGAAGTGTATGTTCATGAAATTTGGAATACACATATATATAAGAATAAGCAGCACAAAGCTGATCATTAAATTGATAATTGCACGTTTCGACGTTAAGCAGCATAGCTGATCATTTAATTGATGAGGTCATGTATGACATGAAAGCAGCATAGCTGATCATTTAATTGATAAGTTCATGTATGACATGAAAGCAGCATAGCTGATCATTTAATTGATAAGGTCTTGTAGGACATGAAAGCAGCATAGCTGATCATTTAATTGATAAGATCTTGTAGGACATGAAAGATGACAGAATAGATGATAATTAAATGTTTCGTAATGAAAACTATTTAATTTCAGATACCAGAATAATATGGCCCAACTTACACTGGAAAAGTTTGAATGCCAAGGAGAAACTACATCCGTTGGAGTAAGATGGGAACGCTGGAAACGAGCACTATCTATATATCTGAATGCAGCGGGTATTGATGACAGCGAGAAGAAAAAAGCTAGCCTGTTACATTTTGGTGGCTTGGAGTTACAAGAAATATTCTACAACATTCCTGAAACAAGCACCACAGACAACGAAGACGTGTTTCAGGCTGCAATAAACAAGCTTGATAGTTATTTTGCCCCAAAACAGAGCAAAGTTTATGAACGCCATCGATTCCGATTAATTAGCCAGGAAACAGATGAAAAATTTGAGAAATTTCTAGTTCGCCTCAGACAACAAGCAGACAAGTGTCAATTCAATGATAAGGATGATCAAATCATAGATCAAATAACAGAGAAGTGTTCATTAAAAGAGTTAAGGAAAAAGATCTTACAAATAGGAGACTCAATAACACTTACTACCATCATAGCTGAAGCAAATGCACTTGAGGCAGTTAACCGACAATTAGAAGATTTTGCAAGTGGGACGAACAAAAGCGTAGACGTTAACAAGGTGGATTTAAAGGCAAGAAACAGAGACAGATTCAAAACAAGGATTGATAATAATGGTTGTGGCAGATGTGGAGGAAAAAATCATAGCTCTCAAGATAGCAAATGCCCAGCCAGGAACAAGGACTGCTTAAAATGTGGCTTAACAGGTCATTTTAGACAATTTTGTAGAAGCAAAACACATTTAAAAAGAGAAAATCATAACAATAATTCTGAAATCAAAAACAAAAGATTTAAATCGCAACATAACAATGATAAGACTGGAAATAGAAATAAAGCTACAGAGGACTTAAATTATGTATTTAGAATTGATGAAGATAGCGAGTTTGAATGTGAAGTAGGAGGGATAAAAATAAATATGCTAGTGGATTCTGGGTGTAAATGTAATTTAATCACAAGCAAAACGCTGCAAACTTTAAGAACTAAAAGCGCGAACATGAAGAACACAATTAAAAATCCGAACAAAAGCTTTTTCGGATACGGAAGCAATCAACCTCTAAAGGTAGTGGAATCTTTTGTTGCGGATGTTAAAATAGCTGATAGATCAGAGTCAGCCACCTTCTATGTTATAGAAGATGGGACAAGAAATTTGTTAGGCAAACAAACATCTATGAGTATGGGACTCCTCAGAATTGGATTAGAGGCAAATAAGATAGAGATCGAGAGACCGTTTCCTAAGTTCAAAAACATTCAAATTCACATATCAATTGACGACAAAATTCACCCAATTTCTCAGCCACTTCGCAGAATCCCCATACCACTCGAGGAAAAAGTGAACAAGAAGATTGAAGAATTAATAGACAGAGATATAATTGAAGAAGTTCAAGGATCATCTAAATGGGTATCCCCAATAGTCCCGGTACTAAAAGAGGGTGGAGATATCCGACTGTGTGTAGATATGCGACGTGTTAATACCGCAATCTTGCGGGAAAACCACCCATTACCGTCTATGGATAAATTATTACCCAAAATAAAGGAGGCAAAATTCTTCAGTAAACTGGACATTAAAGACGCATTCCATCAATTGGAACTACATCCAGACTCCCGCCATATCACAACGTTTATCACAGGAAAAGGGCTTTATAGATATAAACGCTTAATGTTCGGTATTTCATGCGCACCCGAAATCTTTCAGAAAACCTTGGAAAGAATCCTTCTAGGTTGTGAGGGAACCATCAATTTCATTGATGATATATTAGTATATGGGAGAAATATAAAGGAACATGACATAAGATTAGCAAAAGTCAAAGAGGTGCTAGAAGAGAATAATGTGGTATTAAGGAACGACAAATGTTTATATAGACAGACTGAGATACAATTTCTGGGACACGAACTATCGGAAAAAGGAGTCAAACCCTTACAGAAGTACGTATCAAGTATTCAAGGATTTCGAGCACCTATTAACATAGGTGAACTTCAGAGCTTCTTAGGTCTAATTAACTTTGTCGGAAAATGGATTCCCAATTTGGCTACCAAAACAGAATCCCTAAAAGAGCTGCTTCGTAACAACCAAGGTAAATCATCAGATATTCGTAAGAGCTGGAGAACCAAACAAGAGACTGCATTTAACGAATTAAAGTCAGCCCTATCCAACATTCCTACTCTTGGATACTATGATGTTAAGGACAGGACACTAGTAATAGCAGACGCAAGTCCGGTGGCGTTAGGTAGCGTTTTGATTTAGACAGACAGAAAAGGTCCACGCATCATTGCATATGGTCACAAGACCTTAACCGATTGTGAACGGAGATACTGCCAAACTGAAAAGGAAGCACTAGCACTCGTATGGGCAGTAGAACATTTCCACGTTTTTCTATATGGGAAATACTTTGAGCTAGTAACTGACCACAAGCCACTTGAAGTCATCTTTGGACCCAAGTCTAAGCCATGCGCCAGAATAGAGCGCTGGGTTTTGCGACTACAAACGTATGATTTCAAGGTGGTCTATAAACCCGGCAAAGAGAACATTGCAGACAGTTTATCTAGATTATGCCGCTTGGAGAAACCTCTTGTGAACGCTGTGGAAGACGACATCCTTCAAATAGTGGAAATAACAAGACCTACAGCCGTCTCACTACAAGATATTATAAAATACTCGGAGATGGACCCAGAAATTTTAAAAGTTAAGGATGGTATATACCATAATGCATGGGACGAATCTATAAAAAACTACAGTCTATTTAAAGAAGAGTTGTGCTTTTATGAAGGACTATTATTAAGAGGAACAAGGATAGTCATTCCTACTCAACTACGCAAACACGTTCTAGCAGCAGCCCACGAGGGCCACCCAGGAATAGTTCTTATGAAATCTAGACTGCGGACGAAGGTTTGGTGGCCTAGATATGATAAAGACGCTGAAACTTTAGTGAAAACCTGCAAAGGATGCATTTTAGTATCAGCTCCAAACCCCCCAAACCCCCTTAAGCGACGAGAATTACCGAACGAACCCTGGGTAGATATAGCTATCGATTTAATGGGACCACTTCCAAATGGAGACTTCATATTTGTCGCTGTGGATTATTTTAGTAGATACAAGGAAGTAAACATTACTCGAAAAATTACCAGTTTAGACGTAATACAAATCCTAAAACAAACATTCAGTCGTTTAGGAAATCCAGCATCTATAACTGCAGATAATGGGAGACAATTTTGTAGCCAAGAGTTCAAACAGTTCTGTAAAGATAGAAACATAACTCTCTTCAATACCGTACCTTATTGGCCACAACAAAACGGGGAGGTCGAGCGTCAGAATCGCGATATTTTAAAACGTCTGAAGATAAGCCAAGCAGAAAAGACTAATATGAAAGAGGCTTTAGAGGAATACTTATCGATGTACAATAGTACACCTCACAGCGTAACTGGCAGACCGCCTGCAGAGTTATTTTTCAAAAGACAATTCCGTGATAAAATTCCCATGATCAGCGACCTCACTCGTCACATAGAAGACTCTGAGATGAGAGACTTGGATAAGCATAAGAAACAGCTCGGAAAAGAGTATGCAGATGAAAACCGGAAAGCTAAAGAGTGTGATTTAATGCCGGGAGATAAAGTCTACTTAAAAAATTTACACAAAGACAACAAATTAAGCCTCAATTTTAACCCTGTTCCCCATACTGTAGAGAAAAGTATCGGCGGAGATGTTGAAGTACGGAATGATTCAACAGGACAGATATCTAGACGAAATGTAGTACATCTAAAAAGAACTGAGGGACAGTGGCGAGTTTTAAATGAGAAAGAGAAGAGAGCAGAGCGTACAGAACAAGGAAATAACGAAGATAATAGAGAAAATAGAATGGTAACAGATTAAAATAAAAAAGGTATGTTAAAATAATTATAAAGTGATTTTGTTACTGATTGTTGATTAATAAATTAAGATTATTATTATCTTTATTTAGTGGTTTTATTATACATACAAAGATCAAACATATTAAAATAAGAAAGGGATGTAGTGTATGTAAATACATAGTTATGTTTGTCTCGAGCGTATACGTCACAACTGGCATCCGGTGGAGTGGGCAGTCGGTGTCAGACGGTTGAACTGGTAACACGTGGTGGTACGTTGGCGAGCCAAATAGTATAATACATTATATATCAGTGAATACTACAGGTAAGTACATAATCTAAGAAATGTCTTCTTAGACGTCTCATAGGCACTGTATGTACTTACTTATTCTTACGTGGTGACCGAAGTCCTAACAAATACGGTATTGGACAATCAATCAAATTCAAGGACAATTTATTGAAATGTATTGTTTTTTTTGAGTTTTCTATGATTTTCGATAAAGGTACAGAATTGGAGATGTCGGTGTTGTGACGAATGAAATAGCATATTTTTATGTCGTCAGAATATTTATAAAAAAAAATTATATCGTCATAGACTCGTATGCATGTGTGTAGTTTCAATGTAAAATGATCATTTTAGAATAATTAATAGTACTTCGAAAATTCGATACACGGTTTGTATTCTGTAGAAAACGTTTGTACAACCGCGCGAGAGTAGCTAGTTACATATAAAAACAAATAAATGTAGTTATTTAATTGTTCATACTGCATGATGATGTAATTAAATGTGAATAATTGTATAAATTAGAGCGCCTCTTACGCCAACAAACTGTGTGTGCAGTTTGGCGTTTTTGTTGTATTGTAACATGATATTGTTTGAAGAAAAAAATATACCTAATCATACAAAACTTACCACAAGCATAAGCGCCGTCAGAAGAGTAGTGATCTTCCTGCCCCATCGGTCAGCGAGATCTCCAACCATAAATCCACAGAAGATAGGGGGCATAAAAGTAATAGCTGCCATCCAGGATATGGTCTCGTCACTGATTGGCTCCGGAGCTGGTCCTGTTGGTGACTGTAGAATTGGAGTCATTGGAGACTGCCAACCCATCAGCATACCGAAGTTCAGAGCTGGAATTGTGACTGTAACAAAAAGAGATTAGGTTGTAATATAGAGCTCGTGGGAATCAAAGGAGATATTACTTCGTTGAAGAGAAGATAATAACGTTGTGGTGGCCTGGGAGGTTAAGACGCTCGCTTCTCATGCATGAGTGTTCGAAACCTGGCAAGTACCAATGTGACTCTTTCCAAGTTATATGTACTTTCTATGATTATTTAGACACCACTGAATTTTGAGCAAGCGTAATGATTTATGCTCAAACCTTCTCCGTGTGAAAAGAGTCCCTAGCTCCGCAGCGACATATAGGCTGACGATTTGTGATGGATAAAGGAAAGTTACGGTAATATGTTACACGTTTTACCAACGAAGAGTAGAACTCCTCTCTCAAGAATGAAGAGCCTAAGCAAAACTTGGTGTCTAAGCATAAAATGTACATGTAACCTCCTGTTACATGGAACTCATAACACTTCTAGTATAGTTTGAAAGTATTCATTTAACGATTCTTCAAAGAACACAATTTCCATATTTTAATAGTAGTATGCATATTACCGCCTAAGGTCGTGGTGGCCCGGAGGTTAAGGAGCCCACAAATAGTTATTACGTATAGGAATCGAAACCGACACGACACGATGCACGGCAGCCAGAAGTCCTTGGATAATCAAAAAAAGCGACTAATTAAACGGCTTATTATTAAGCTAGCTGGCTGCGATTTGCAACATAGGTATGTGTGTGTGTCCCATCAGCTGATCACGTGATAAAAGTTAATTATTCAAATCAGTCTTACTTGTAGATTGACGTGAAACCTGTCAAGATAACTAACTAAGTACATGCAGATCTATTGAGAATGATTTATTGACCGTAATGATCGGTAACCGGTTCTGTATAAATCACAACTAGATTACTTACACACATACCTACATACATATCTACATATGTAAATGTATGCATTTCCTATGAATTGTGTTAGTTAATAAAATATGCTGTAAGCTGGCCGCATTGATTTAATTGCGGTCTAGATAATGCTGTTTTGTTATTATGATTTATGTTAACGTCTTAATCTCTTGTACAATTATTGTAAGTTTTTTTATAAGGTATTATTTCCTTTTGTAGAAAAAAAACAAAAATGAAGTACTGTCTAAGCCTAAGATTACTATATAAGCTAGATAAAGAAGCCTAACAGAAGGCTAGATATATTTGCCTTGCCTTTGGATTTGAAGATTGGGGTTTCGAGAATTGGGCTTCCAATCACCTCACCTACACGACGAAGCAAATCGCCAGCGTTAATTCACGCCGGTTTTCTGAGAGGCTGTTGTATCAGTACGGTCGTGCCACCAGGGGGCTTAACATAACGTTCAAAAGAGAAAGAGCTATATAAGTGTCTAGCTCTGTCTCTTACCCACACTGAAGTAAGATTTTTTAATCTTACTTTGAATGTCATTGTTACCCCCCAGTTGTGCCGAAGCATAGCCCTTCCACGCGTAAGAATTAAATGCACATATAATTCTTTAAACTCATAAATATAATTAGTTGCATAAATAAATAAATTATTTATGCATGTATATTGGCCGTGTGTCCACAGGTGGGATAGTAAGAAACGTGTACTTTTGAAGTCGGCAACTCAAGCTATACTTAATTTTAGTTTAATTTTCATCGTTAGTTGGTTGACGTTAAAGTTGAAATTCTTTTGAAGCAATTGACAGTTTGGTTTATCTTGATGTGCTGGTTCTTAACATTGGCATGATTGAACTGATTTAAATCATAATATGTAATGATTAATTTCTGCTTATCTCATTAAATTTATTAATGTGAATTTATGTGAAATATATGTATAAGTACCTACATATGTATAGGTTTCGCACAGCTGCTATTCCTAGAGACTTCAAAGCGAAGTTTAAAAAAAACCTTCTATATTTTTTTTTTAATTTAGGAATAATTTTATCCAATTTTGTTCATTTGTTTAGAAGTAATGCACTCACAAACATTTCTAAGGTTTCATGTTTTGGTACCTACTTAAATTAATAATTGAATGATTCGTAATTTTTTCGGTGTTTTTTGTTACACAATGTTTTTGTATTGCGTGTTGAACCTTTATGATTAATTCTCCTCTTATTACCCTAATGCAAAAGGTTAATTTTTTATCAACTCCAGAAATAGAGGTTATTCATACCAATGTACCTACTTATTTAATAATGTGTCGCACGCGGTATAACTTGCTGCGTGGCTCCTTTTGGGTCTTTTTGGCTATCGCGTGATACTAGGAAAATAGACTATCCAACACAACAATAATTGTTCAAATCGAACCAGTAGTTTAGGAGATTAGTGCGTTCAGACGAACAGACAAATCTTCACTAGGTTCGGCTGATGCCAGCCGGTATCGCAATAACATATATACCTGTGTGAACCTGGCACCCGACTTTGGAAAAATTGGTTTTTTTAATGGTTTTTCGAAAGATTTCGATTAGTAGTGAATAGTAGTGAAGATATTTTCGTTAGTAGTAATACCAAAAAGAAAAAAAAAAATAGTTAAAAATGTCATCCACCGAAAATAAAAAAAAAAGTTTTTTTCGGCTGTTTCTCATAGATAAACGTTAGTAGTGGATTGTAGTGCAATTTTATTCGTTTGTAGTAAAATAGAAGAAAAAAAAATCGTTTCGGAGTATTTTTTGAAAACGAACGATTTTTATGACCTGAATACTGTTTCAAGGCATATACGATTACTACTAACGTTAGATTTGACTAAACAGGGTTCCTAGAGGTTAGTAGTGAAAGAATTTTCGATAGTAGTAAAGATAGATGTCGATTAGAAGCACTTGAGATGAGCCAAACTTGTTTCGGAGCGATATTTGCTGGATAAAATTTTTTTGATGATAAATACGACTACTACAAACGTTGAAATTGACTAAAAAGGGTTCGTAGAGGTTTGTGGTGAAAGAAATTTCGATAGTAGTTAAGGTACATGTTGACTAGAAGCACTTGAGATGAGCCAAACTTGTTTCGGAGCGATATTTGCTGGATAATTTTTTTTTTGATGATAAATACGACTACTACAAACGTTGAAATTGACTAAAAAGGGTTCGTAGAGGTTTGTAGTGAAAGAATTTTCGATAGTAGTGAAGGTACATGTTGACTAGAAGCACTTGAGATGAGCCAAACTTGTTTCGGAGCGATGTTTGCTGGATAAAATTTGTTTGAAGATAAATACGACTACTACAAACGTTAAAATTGACTAAAAAGGGTTCGTAGAGGTTTGTAGTGAAAGAATTTTCGATAGTAGTTAAGGTACATGTTGACTAGAAGCACTTGAGATGAGCCAAACTTGTTTCGGAGCGATATTTGCTGGATAATTTTTTTTTGATGATAAATACGACTACTACGAACGTTGAAATTGACTAAAAAGGGTTCGTAGAGGTTTGTAGTGAAAGAATTTTCGATTGTAGTAAAGGTACATGTTGACTAGAAGCACTTGAGATGAGCCAAACTTGTTTCGGAGCAATATTTGTTGGATAAAATATTTTTGATGATAAATTCGACTACTACAAACGTTGAAATTGACTAAAAAGGGTTCGTAGAGGTTTGTAGTGAAAGAATTTTCGATAGTAGTTAAGGTACATGTTGACTAGAAGCACTTGAGATGAGCCTAACTTGTTTCGGAGCGATGTTTGCTGGATAAAATTTGTTTGAAGATAAATACGACTACTACAAACGTTGAAATTGACTAAAAAGGGTTCGTAGAGGTTTGTAGTGAAAGAATTTTCGATTGTAGTAAAGGTACATGTTGACTAGAAGCACTTGAGATGAGCCAAACTTGTTTCGGAGCAATATTTGTTGGATAAAATTTTTTTGATGATAAATTCGACTACTACAAACGTTGAAATTGACTAAAAAGGGTTCGTAGAGGTTTGTAGTGAAAGAATTTTCGATAGTAGTTAAGGTACATGTTGACTAGAAGCACTTGAGATGAGCCAAACTTGTTTCGGAGCGATGTTTGCTGGATAAAATTTGTTTGAAGATAAATACGACTACTACAAACGTTGAAATTGACTAAAAAGGGTTCGTAGAGGTTTGTGGTGAAAGAATTTTCGATAGTAGTTAAGGCACATGTTGACTAGAAGCACTTGAGATGAACCAAACTTGTTTCGGAGCGATATTTGCTGGATAAAATTTGTTTGAAGTTAAATACGACTACTACAAATATCGCTCCGCATATTATCCAGCAAACATCGCTCCGAAACAAGTTTGGCTCATCTCAAGTGCTTCTAGTCAACATGTACCTTCATTACTATCGAAAATTCTTTCACTACAAACCTCTACAAACCCTTTTTAGTCAATTTCAACGTTCGTAGTAGTCGTATTTATCATCAAAAAAAATTATCCAGCAAATATCGCTCCGAAACAAGTTTGGCTCATCTCAAGTGCTTCTAGTCAACATGTACCTTTACTACAATCGAAAATTCTTTCACTACAAACCTCTACGAACCCTTTTTAGTCAATTTCAACGTTTGTAGTAGTCGTATTTATCTTCAAACAAATTTTATCCAGCAAACATCGCTCCGAAACAAGTTTGGCTCATCTCAAGTGCTTCTAGTCAACATGTACCTTCACTACTATCGAAAATTCTTTCACTACAAACCTCTACGAACCCTTTTTAGTCAATTTCAACGTTTGTAGTAGTCGTATTTATCATCAAAAAAAAATTATCCAGCAAATATCGCTCCGAAACAAGTTTGGCTCATCTCAAGTGCTTCTAGTCAACATGTACCTTAACTACTATCGAAAATTCTTTCACTGCAAACGTCTACGAACCCTTTTTAGTCAATTTCAACGTTTGTAGTAGTCGTATTTATCTTCAAAAAAAAATTATCCAGCAAATATCGCTCCGAAACAAGTTTGGCTCATCTCAAGTGCTTCTAGTCAACATGTACCTTCATTACTATCGAAAATTCTTTCACTACAAACCTCTACAAACCCTTTTTAGTCAATTTCAACGTTCGTAGTAGTCGTATTTATCATCAAAAAAAAATTA